TATTATATTACTTCCTTCTGGACACAGTGGAAATCCACTAGAATAATTTTAAACCATGCTTTGTCAATAAGAAATATCATTCTTGGATAATAAAGCACAATATTGATTGATTGATTGAAATATCAATTTCTAACGTTGAAAATCCAACGATATTTCGAATTCAACCACTTTATATACATAACCTTGTCTAGAGGAAGGTATGTAAAACGTGATAAAACCCTACACCCCAGAGCCCACCCACAGAACACCGTGACGTCCTTGCGTAGCAGTTTTTTCCATTTTCCTCGATTGTATCGGGGCAAAATACCATGTATATTTGAAAGCAAGCGTCGCGTGACTCAGCGCTAGGTCTAATCGAATGCAGACTTGCAGGCGCCTTCGCCATTTCGTTCCGTCCGTCCAACCATTGATCTGCAGTAGTAGTAGCAGTAACGCCGAGCCATTTCGAGTCGGTCTCCGCCAATCGGCAATATCATCGGTAATAGCAGTCTCGGGAATTGGGTGACGACTTCGCCTTCCTTAAGTATTCATGGGTTTCCTTCGCAGGCTGATTAGCTGCTCTGCGGAATAAGACGGGGGTGTTGTTTTCCGTGTTTTTTCGATATTTTTTCGCCGACACCAAGCTGAAGGCGATCTTACAAGGTACGAATATCAAAATTTGATATTTTTTATTCATTTCCTCTGTTTTTGGATGTATGATAAATTGATATTCATCGTACAGGAGTTACAGGACGTGGAAAGAAATTCTGAATTGAGAAAACCTGATCACGAATCTGCGATTGAAGTCTATAAAAATAACAAGTTTCCATCGTTCAAGTTTGAATCCGTTGATTAGGTGAAAGTATTGAAGAGGAATATTCTCCGATATATTTATATATGAACACAAAAAATGGATATACAGTGTGTCCCACTTACCATGCTCACCATGGGTATCTTTTCAACGGTGAGAGATACGAGGTCGGTTAAATGACACCAAATGTGGAGTTTGTCAAGGCCAACTATAATGTGAAAAAATATTTTGATAAAATCTATTCGTTTTTGTTTTATACGCAAAAAACAGATTTCGATCATTCCCATGTCTCCTCCGTAACTTCTTTATTTATGAAAATATTCAAATAGGAATTTCACATCCTCGTGGCAGTTTTTCAAAGTGATTTCGAAAAAAATATGAAATTCATACCAACTCTTCTAGAATTTGAGATATCAGCACCAACTTCAGTTTTTCAAATGTAGGTCATAGCTCACTATGACTTAGTTACAAATAACTTTTTTTTCTCTTACAGATGATATATCGCAGTAATAGTTTTGTATTGATAACAACGGAGTGATCGTCATTCATACAAAAACAGAAAATTTTTGGAAGCCGCCATCTTGAATTTATAAATTTCTACAAAAAATCATGATCTCCGACCTCAAAAACCCCCACCTACCAATTTTGAATGGAATCGGACCAAATCTTGTCCGACATCTTGGAGCAGCCATTTTTTTTTATTTAACAAAAATTTCATAATGTATTGTCACCGAAATTATGAACACCAGCCAAATTTCAAGTTTATCGGAGTTATGGAATTTTTGTTGAAATTAAAAAAAATAGCTGCTCCAAGATGGCGGACAAGATTTGGTCCGATTCCATTCAAAATTGGTAAGTGGGGGTTTTTGAGGTCGGAGATCATGATTTTTTTGTTAAAATTTATAAATTCAAGATGGTGGCTTCCAAATAATTTCTTGTTTTTTGTATAAATGACGATAACTCCGTTGTTATCAACACAAAACTATTACTGCGACATATCATCTGGAAGAGAAAAAGAAGTTATTTGTAACTAAGTCATAGTGAGCTATGACCTACATTTGAAAAACTAAAGTTGGTGCTGATATCTCAAATTCTAAAAGAGTTAGTATAAATTTCATATTTTTTTCGAAATCCTTTTAAAAAACTGCCATGAGAATGTGAAATTCCTAATTGAATATTTTCATAAATAAAGAAGTTACGGATGAGACATGAAAATGATCAAAATCTGTTTTTTGCGTATGAAACAAAAACGAATAAATTTTATCAAAATATTTTTTCACATTATAGTTGGCCTTGACAAACTCCACATTTGGTGTCATTTAACCGACTTCGTATCTCTCACCGTTAAAAAGATACCCATGGTAAGTATGGTAAGTGGGACACACTGTATACAGTGTGGTCATTTAAGTGTGCAACATATGGGAATCTTTTTGATGAATTGCACAACCAAAATACTGATGGTGCCAAAAGTTGATGTATGTTCGGTAACAATTTGAGGTGCACTTAGAATGGTTGCAAGTCACACAGCATACAGGGTAGGTCAAAAAATATAAAAATTGCTCAAGAGTAAAGTACCCTTATTTCAGAAAATTCAGCAAAATGTTATTGAGAAAAGTTGTTTACCATTGAAAGTTATGCCTAAATACCAAAACAGGTGTTGGTGAATAATTTCCCAATTCATTAAAAAGATTCCCATATGTTGCACACTTAAATGACCACACTGTATATTAAGAAATACATTGAGAATTCGCATTCTCCATGTGATGAAGATATTAATTCTTTCTCTGTTTACTCAACAGAAAACAACTACTTTCCTGGCTACATGCCACGACGATTCGACGAACATTGAAATACATCTGTTGAATATCCAAAAAGAGAGCATGAAAAATCAAAATCCTCTGAAATTGAAAATTGGCATTATCTCTCAAATCGAATAGAAATAAAATGATGTATTATGATATAAATAATATATCTTACCAATATGTTCAGTATTGAAATGAAAATTGAAATGTATAGGAGAAGTATACTTGTTTGAACTCTGATCTTGATGAGCTTGTAACTTCAAAAAAATCATTCGTATCAGTGATATGGGAATTATATCTCTCTCAAACAGGTTATATAACTTCACTCGACTAAAACTCGTTTCGGATATCAAATCCTTATCAGTAACCTGAAGTCCAGTTATCCTTTTAGCCATTCTTCATAATGAAAATTGTGTATATCATGAATAAGAATGGCTAGTCGTAGTGTCAACGGCAGTCACGTGCGGGAAAGAATCACTTTCCGCACTTGTTAGGAAAATTACTATTACCTACGGCCACTGTAGAAAGTAGGCAAGAACACACGAAATACAGGCTCAGTAAATAGCTCCTTACGCACGGTAAACACATCGCACAATTTTCGTATATTCTGCAAGTATGTCATGATCGCGTAATCGCCGTCAACAGCGTTTGACATTTCAACTGTCATGAACAAAAATATTACAAACGAACTGTTTTGAAAGACTATTTTATGGCCGTAGGTAAAGTATAGTACATAATACGTGTTGCAAAGCAATTACGCACTGGCCGCTTCGCGGAATTACATTCACCAAAAAATAAATTGTTCACCCCGTAACTTTTTTGATACTTGTACGATTCTTGTGAAACTTCGATCAAATCGTAGATTCATGTTCCGGAAATGTATTAGTTTCCATGAAATGCTGATGACTTGATCATTATACAGGGAAATACTAAAGTTACTCTTTAGCCCTTTACTTCCTAACGCCCTTGTGAAATTGACTTAACTTGGCTTCATCATGTTTTGGATTAAAGTGTGATCCTTTCTTGGCACAATAATCTTGATTCACGTCATGATCTTATTTTGAAGAGAAGATACGAGTGTTGTAAGAAAGCATCTCATTTTTATTAACAATAATCAAAACCTACATATAATATATTATTGATTAGATTAGATTAGATTTGGAATGGGGCCTTCGGGCTATCTGCCTCCACACTGCGACCTTTTCAGATCTATTGTGCCTGCCCTCAAAATGGATTAGAGTTCTTCGGCTAGCCCCGCCTTCTCTATGAGACTCCATAGGCTAGCTTTCAGATCTCCTGTGTATCTCTGGGCTCCTGGTTTTTCCTCACCCAGCGTAAGGAACCTTAGTCTTGACAAGCCCTCACAGTGGCAAAGTATGTGTACTGCTGTTTCTTCCTCTTCTTGACAGAACCTGCACAGCAGTTCTTCAGTCAGACCTATCGTACTCATGTGTTTGTTGAGCCTACAATGCCCTGTGAGAAGTCCCACTAGTATTCTAGTTGAACCTCGTTTCTGGCTTAGTAGATATTCTGTGAATGTTGGCGATGGTTTTTTAATAAACTCTTTAGCCTGTCTCATTCCTGGCGAGTTGTTCCACCATTCTTGAGATTTGGTTTGCATCCATGATTTGATACTAGTCTTTTGTATAGCTTTCGCACAGAAGGGTTCTGGGCCATTAAGAGCTTTGTTTGCTCCTGCTCGGGCAAGTGAGTCTGCCTCTTCATTGCCCTCGTACCCTGTATGTGCTGGTACCCATGCTAGAGTCAATCTGTTCTGACTGCCCAGTGCATTTAGGGTTTCTAAGCAGTCCCATACTAGTTTTGAGTTAACTTGCATAGAGTTGACTGCTTTGATTGCCGCCTGGCTATCTGAATAGATTGCAATGGTTTTGCCTTTGAACTCTTGCCTTATCAATTCTTTCACACAATAATGTACTGCAATAATTTCTGCCTGAAACACCGTCGCGTATTTGCCTAAGCTCAGTGAGATTCTTGTCTTTGGCTTGGCCCCATAAATACCAGCTCCTGATCCTTCCTCAGTTATTGATTAACTTCTCAGTATATTAATTTCACCCATTTCTACCTAATTTTTTCAGCACTAACCGGGAAAAACCTTAATTATAATAAACAAAGAAATAGTAGACCTGTTGTCAATAACGAGTATGCCCTCCTCAAGTTTGAATTACTCCGCTCCGCGTCTTTCGTGCAACTGCCGTCGCGTACGAAAAAGTACTACTTTTCGCACTAATTAGGTAAATAACTATTTCCAATCTGTATATGAACATCGTATCTCCTCTTCCTCTCAATTCAACGAACAAATTCCCTTAGTGGTGTGAGATGCACAAAACCACAACTAGAATATTTTCGAGCCCACACACGAATAATTTGTTGTTTTTTTTTTGTTTCAGGTAGGAACGAAAGTTTGCCCTTGGGATGTTGTGTGGAGAGTTCCACAGGGCTCCCATAGGTTTGCATTTGAATAGCGTTTTCCTCTCTGCCAACCCGAGCCCTTACAGCGCCCTGCTCACTCTGGTTCGTGGCATGGCTGCCGTCTCGGCTCACGAAGATGAGGACATCTATCTCGGTAAAGTTGAATCACAAAGCACATCACAGATCACAGAGCACAAAAGCCATAATGCGCCAAAAAGCACTTGGTGGTACTAAGATGTCTGCACAGTCATGGAAACTATCCATCCTTCTCAGAATGGTCCAATTTTTTTCGTTCCAATTCGCGAAAATCACGAAGTGTGCGGCCTCTGGTGGCCAACTTTACAAGTCTCGCGAGTATGAACAACAAATATGGCGACCATTGTTATGAGTTTCTGTGTTTTATTTGAAAATAATTTATTTGTTGAAGTGCATATTCCAGAACCTCATTTTCCCTGATGAAAAAACTCGAATTATTGCATGAACTTTTATTGTTTACAATGAAGAAGCCAGTACCTACCTTATAATAATATAATATACATTTTCTGAAGCACAGTTAGAATCCTTGTATAAATGTTGGTTGCAATGATTTGATCTTGAGAATTACTCCAAGTCTTCAATTGCTGGAGATCCTTGTTTATGTAAATCGATGATATTGTTCATTCTGAGCAGCCTTTCCAACCATATCTTCTTTTCCCAGCCCCTTCACTAGAATTCCATCTCCATCATAAAAGCCAGTGATATTTCTTGATGAATTCAATTATTTCTTCATACCTATACCATATTGTTGTGATAGCTGATTGCTTTTATTGTCCATTCCAGTCCATGCAAGTCTTGAGTGGACCATTCCGACCATTTCATATGTTTGAAAACTGTGGAATTGTAGTGTGATATCAATGATGAATACCACCATTGTCCACATCAAAATGGCAATTTCTCTGCACAAAAAGTAATTTTTTCCATACTGGAAACCTTGTACGTATTTCACGAAGTCAACTCATTATTCACTATTTTGCAAAATGATTTCGAAATAACCAATTTGCAATGAGTGCATACGGCAATGTTTTTGTTGTTCATACTCAGTTTGAAATTTGACGTTGATTTGACGTTAAATAGAGCCATCTATTGGTTCGTGATTTTCGCGAATATGGTGTCAATAAGAAAAAACAAAGTAGTTGATGATGTTGGCGTATAGATGACACGTCGGATCGTCCAAATTAAACAGAGCTACGACTGTCAATATATTTTTGTCAATAAACACTTGCCTGCATGACTCACGTGGTCCAATTTTACAAATACTCCTGACAGCTCTTTTTTGTAATTTGAAAACTGAGTCCAGCAAATTATAGCTACATACTCCCCACAAAGGTATACCATACATCAAATGAGATTCGAATAATATGCATTTTTAACAGTGGATGCTCCAGGCTCCTGCTTCAGATAGTTTTCCTTCTGATTAGTTTTCATATGTATCGAATTTCAATTTTCTGTCTATATGCAAACCTATAAATCTAGTACACTCTTTATTTTCAAGCATTTCATTTTCTAAGAGTAAATTCTGAATAGGGCATTTGGAAGAAATTATATTCGTTTTTGTGATATTAAATGATAACAAACTTGAATCACCCTGGGACTCGATAATTTTTATTTCTCCTGATATATTGTGGTTCAAATCGTCAATGGTTCTACTCCTCCACAAAATTGTGGTGTCGTCAGCAGATAATGTGAATTTACCAGAAATTTTTACATTCAAGGTCATTGACGTATAATAAAAACAGGATCGGGCCCAATACTGATCCTTGCGGCACTCCCGAATCTATCTCAGTGATCCTTGAAATTTCATTAGTCCTGACTACTTGATTGCGCCCTGTAAGATATGACTCAAACCAATCCAAAGAAACAAGACAATTGCATCATGAGTGTTTTTTTTGTTTTGAAATCCAAATGGATTTGCATGAATTATTTCATTGTTCTTGAGGAACTCATTGAGTTTCTTTTTAACAAGTTTTTCGATGATTTTTGCAAGAGTAGGGATGAGAGATATTGGTCTGAAGTTTGATGGATCATCTAGTGTACCACCCTCGGTACCACCCTTATGTAATGGAATCACTACCGCCATTTTCAGAAAAGATGGAAACATTCCATCACGAAAAGACAATTTTATCAGTGATACTAAGGTATTTAGGACACTTCTTGGGAGGTTTTCGAATAGTTTGATGAAAATATCATCAAAATCAGCTGTTTTTTTATTTTTTATATCTTTCATTTCCAACAGTTCATCGATATTTGTATCAGATAATATAAAATAATTTTAATTGTTATAGTTCACAAGATGGATTAATGGGTCATATGGTACTATAATTTTTTCGTTAAGCTTCTTGGCAACTGAGCAGTAGAATTCATTCATTACATTTGCACTTATTGGAATTTCTGAATCGATTCTTTTTTTTGGGTTATCTCTCAGGTCGTCTATTACCATGGTTCTTTCATTTTGTAAGTTGATGAATCAATTCTAGTTTTGATGTAGTCTTCTTTAGTGAGCTTGACAACTTTTCTATAAACTTTTCGATATTATTCAACGAATAACGCCAGAAAAAAAATTTGAAATAATTTCACAAAATCTCAGTTTTTCCCGTATATCTCCAGATATACTCAGAATTTATAAATTTTCTCGACGGCATATTTGCCCTAATTTAACCATCTTCGTATCTCCTATAGTTTCCGAGATCCCAATGGTGACCCTCTAACTTGAATTACCCGGTATAAATAGTTATCTAGTATTCAAATCATTCGATTAAAATCGTCGCAACCTCGCCTTGTATTTGACAGTTTTGCTTATTACAGCAAAACTGTCAAATACATACAGGGACTCTAGTTTCGATTAGAGTCACTAGATGGTATTAGTTTGATAAGAGTTCGGACACAGAAATGACAACGGTAAGGATTTTTGAATGTTTAGATTTATTAAGTTATAGACCTTGCATTGGGACAAGAGCACCATAGTCGTTCCGCGCTTTATCATTCAAAATTGTTTGAATTTGACATAATAAACGTCAGATTTGAAATAAAATTTCATAATTATGCTTTCGAGGAAAAAGCAGCAATGGAAATCACTTGATGTGTAATGAATTGTGCCAATTCTGAAAAAAAAATGGATATCATTCATTCAATTTTCCAAAACGAATATCAAGCATTCGTTTATGGAAGGAAGATATGAAACGGCCTGGGTGGAAAATCAATTTGAAGACGAGCAAAATTTGTGAGGTACTCATTAAAATTCACTTTTCATAACAGCATCTGATTAAAATGAAACTATATTTTAGGCCCATTTTCAAACAGAAGATTTCAAAATCTGTTTGAGAGAATCTGCTCTTCCATCAATTTACAAAGCAGACGATTTCAAGGCCAAAATTCCATTAATATCATAACTCAAAATACAGAACAAAATAATCATGGAAAAAGAGGAATTGATCGCAAAATCCATAATGAAATTGGAAATTTGGAAACGAAACTAAGAAAAGCAAATAAACTACAACGTGATATATTATTGAATGGCGTTTTTGGTACCGACCAAATTCAGAATTTAATAGTGAAAAGTGAATAGTTATTTATGTAACAAGAGAATTATTATAAGTAATATTTACAATTTTCTATATCGATCCATATGTTACTTAGCTCCTAGGGCGCTAAGTGAAGTTGCTGAGACTTTACAAAACCAAGTATGTGGTAGGTCTCGTCAAAATAAACTACTTTTTTCCTATGAAATGTTTATCGAAAAATGATGTTTTCTGTATTTCAACACCTTGTATCTCCGAAATGAAGCATTTCCGGACACAAGCTTATATGACCTTTATTTCCTAAAATTGTCTCAGTAATACTTCACTTGAACGTACTTCTCTCATTACTTCCTGTATACTGAGAATACCTACCTTTAATTTAATATTAATATCTTCATGTTTTATACTTATTACTGGAGTACAGTTTCACGTACAATAAGGTATTATAGCTATAAGTATATCCATATGTGTATATTTTCTAATATTAAAATAATATTACACGTTTTATTTTCATTTATAAAGTGTTGTTCTGTTAGAAGTGTATCACCATAGATCTATGGTATCACTATAAATTGAAGTGGTGTTTATACTCTACTTCTATTCGCGAAAATCACGAACCGATAGATGGCTCTATTTTATGTCAAATCAACGTCAAATTTCCAACTGAGTATGAACAACAAAAACATTGCCGTATGCACCCATTGCAAATTGGTTAATTCCAAATCATTCTGCAAAATAGTGAATGATAAGTTGACTTCTTGAAATACGTACAAGGTTTCCAGTATGGAAAAAATTACTTTTTGTGCAGAGAAATTGCCATTTTGAGATGGACAATGGTGGTATTCATCATTGATATCACACTACAATCCCACAGCTTTCAAACATATGGAACGATCGGAATGGTCCACTCAACACTTGCATGGACTGGAATGGAACCATACAAGCAATCAGCTATTACAACAATATGGTATTGTCACGAGTAGAACATACGGTAGGTATATCAGTAATTTCGAACCATGAGGGTTTTATAAACATAAAGTAAATCAAATCATCCGTTGACATTGAATTATAAAAACTGACCAAGGAACTCTCATGAGAAACGTGCAAATTTGATAAAATGATGTATATAAATATTGGATGTGAGGGTTCCGAAGTTAGTCTGGTCTGGGGCTACTCTTGACTTGACAAGAGCTCGTCGTTATGGTCGTTATAATGTAAGTTGTTATTCTGTCTTTATATTCATTGTTGTTGATTCATATTTTGTCATTGCTACCCATAATGGTACATGCTTCAATACATATTGTTATCTTTGAATATAGTGTCGTATACTTTCGGTTACCCCTAAACTATTAGTGCCTATTTGAACATTACCTCTCGCAAAATATTAAGCCAAGCATTACCCCTTTATAAACCCATAAGGATGATTTAACCATCTCCTTTTGAATCGTGACATAGATTGAATCAACTTTTTTGTTGTGACATGGTTATTGATTAATATCAATTCATGGGGGAAACACAACCCTATTTTGTTGTGACAGTATAGGTATGAAGAAATAATTGAATTCATCAAGAAATATCACTGGCTTTTATGAAGGAGATGGAATTCTAGTGAAGGGGCTGGGAAGGAAGATATGGTTGGAGTTGCTGCTCAGAATGAACAATATCATCGATTTACATAAACAAGGATCTCCAGCAATTGAGGACTTGAAGTTATTCTCAAGATCGAATCATTGCAACCAACATTTATACAATGATTCTAATTGTGCTTCAGAAAATGTATATTATATTATTATAAGGTAGGTACTGGGTTCTTCATTGTAAACAATAAAAGTTCATGCAATAATTCGAGTTTTTTCATCAGGGAGAAATGAGGTTCTGGAATATGCACTTCAACAAATAAATTATTTTCAAATAAAACACATATTTATGAAATTCAAAACAATGGTCGCCATATTTGTTGTTCATACTCGCAAGACTTGTACAGTTAGCAACCAGAGGCCGCACACTTCGTGATTTTCGCGAATTGTCCATCTACGACTATGATTGATTTGACAGAAAATCTAACCTCTAAAATCGTATCTGACAAATCAGGCGCTACTAGCGAAATTGAAAAGAGACAAAGAGCAGAATATATGTCTTATTCTTGTATTCACTCAAACCATTGTAAAAGGACAAAAGTTCAGCTGTGTCCGAACTCTTATCAAACTAACACCATCCAGTGACTCTAGTTTCGATCAGTTCATTCGACGGAACGTTCCAGAAAACGGGCTGCTCAGCTACGAGAACCCCAACTACCACCTCGGCCCGCCGTCCCACCACCAGCGACGCCTCGACGACGCCCTCAACTCCAACGACGCCTACGAGGAGGTGTGCCGCGAGTTGGACGATCTGTGCCAGCAGGGAGGGCGCAAGGGGGTGCCGGGGGGCGGCCAGCAATCGGCCGGCCGGAAGTCGTACGCCGCCCTCGACGCCGGCTCGATGGGGGTGGACGTGAACGGGGGGCCGGTGATGCAGCGGTACGTGGACAACAGGAGGTAGGAATGGGGGAAGGAGGGGGGGGGTTGGGTTGCTGGGGATGGTTTTGATCGGCTTATGTTTTATGTGTTAGTTTTTTACGTTTACTACAACTGTCACGAAAAAAATATTGATGTAATCAAATATACACATTCTCATAGATAGTTTTCAAACAACTAACGCTATAGATATTCCTAAAGATATTCCAACAATTTACTATTGAACACTTTCACAGTATTTGCCTCTTCAATGGCATTTGGTAAATTATTATATTCCCGTAGTGGCGTAGTGCCTTGAAGAATAAATTTTTCATATATATATATAAACATTTGATCTTCATCAAAATATGTAGGTTATTTTTAATACTGAATTTATAGTTCTACGTTTGCTATATTTCTAAATCGTTCATTCTAACTTGGAACATGAAAATAACTTCCTACTTTGAACACGGGAATTCGTTTTTATACTCAAAGTTTGGATATTCTTTTTTCAGCTACAAAATCGACAATACTGAATTCCGACATGAAAATGCCGACTTTAAACACAGAAAATTTCGAATTTATACTTGAAACTTGGACTATTAAGTCAGAAATCCTGCATTTCATTTTGAAAATTCTTACTTCAAACTCAAAATGGTAACTCGGCTTTAAACTCGCAATTTTGATTCTGAATATTGACTTTCTCTATTTCATGACTCAGTATATCATTCATGTCAATTTTGTGAATATGAGAAAAATGTTAAATTGGAACAAATTAAATTTGTTAGTATAGTTAACATTGTGATGTTGTTATATCTTAGGATAACTGGTAGACTTTATACTTTTCGCTGCTGATTAAATATCTATTCAATTCTCCATCTCTGTTTTAAACCTATTCAGTGTAACAATTCTGACTACAAACAATGGAATTCTATTATTTCTCTGGCTATATAATCGGACTACATTTCTTCAAACTCTGGAATATCAACTTCAAACCCGGGAATGTCGAGTTCGAACTCCGAATTTTGTTCTTTTGACTATGAGCTGGAAAATAAATTTCGTATTCGCGAGATTCACGAAGTGGGTGACATCTAGGTTACATAATACGAACTTCAAACTGGGGGAAAACAAACTGTTGTCAATGGATAAGGTGCATAGACTACATTGCATACAGCTTGCTGTAGCTGTAGTTGTCAAACTTGTCAATGACATAAAGTGTTCGGACTGTTGGTAGTGATGATGGTTGAGTTGGTTAATTTTTTTACATTTGTTAGTTTATTAAACAGTGAACGGGTGAAGAATTGGAGATAGTTCAAACAATTCAAACTAATTATGACGAGCAAATCAATTGACATATAAAAGAACAGCTACAACATGTTTAAAATACCCAGATTGTCCTGCTTTGCACGAACTAATACAAATCCATCGTTCTACAGGAGTTCCTCTGGACCCCAACTTCAATTTTACTTCATGTGGGGAAGATTTCATCGCCGAAGTTTGTGGACAAAGTGCAAAAATGTGCCTTTTGTTGAAGTCTTCTGCCTCACACAAAATCCCATGATTAGCACGGAGAACTGCTTCTCCTTCCACTACTGGTCGGCTTTTTCCATCTAAATAGAGCAAAATGTCTGCCAAAAGAACATCTTCAACCGGCGTTATTAGCGTTTTCGATCGAATATTGACAATTAATGTCAAGAAATTCAAAAACTTATCACTCTTATCAGTACACAGTACACAAGCTAATGACACTAATGGGATTGAGTGAGGATTGAGTTTGTTTTCCCCCAGTTTTGACGTGGCTTTGACATGGAACGATGAAAACCGAGCGCCACCTGGTGACATTGATTCCCGCGAATAGTTACACCATTGTACCGAGTGATTCATGCACATTTGGACCTTTTACGAAGTCATTATCATATGATAATAATAAATATAGAAAAAGGGTTAATTGGGTGTATTCTTCTTGTGGTGAAGGAAGAATCAAATAGAAGTTATTTTTGTCTGTTATAGGGGTAATGAATGGAATGGGAATTCAATGTCTGAAAAGGACAAGAGTGAAAGTTCTACTGTTTGGGAAAAGTATGTAAAAGTGCCAGTCATGTTAGCTATTAGACTAGACGATATACATGAAATGAAATCACTCAGTCCAAACATGAAACAAAATTTGCTTTTTCAATAATCTTAGAGTACTGCTGAGTATGATCAACTGAGATATTTCAATTCATAATACCTTTTAATTAGTTCATTGACTATAATCAAAAATGACTTATGAATGTTATAATGAAACCTTTCAAGTACTAAGTTTTTCCTTTCCAATACAGGGTGACATTGAGATAAATGAATAAATAATTTGAATCTCAAGAAGGCTAAAAGATGTTTAGCTGTTGATATCTGCCTACTTCGTCAATTTTTTCAATCTATCAAAACATTATCAGCATAGATACCTACTATGCTAATAATATTTCTCATAATAGGTTGATTGAGATTCATGCATCTGTTTTCTGATATGCGATTATATCAATAACTGTCAAGTTTCGGAATTGATAACAAGTATTGGTATTGCTTTGGTGACAGATTAGATCTATTGTGCCCAATCTTCTTCTGCTATCTCAAGGTTTTCTTGTTTATAGCAGCCCCTCAAGCTTCAATTCTTTTAGGAATTCGAGGATTCTGAGGGGATCTGTTCGTGGTATATCTTCCACGGTCAGCTGGTATGCTCCCAGTAAATTCGATCTTCGATGAAGTGACTTGTGGCTTACATGGTACCCTCTGAAGAATGTATCAAAGTAGATATTAATAATATTTTATGTAGACAAGTTGACAGCATCTCGAAATCATATCTACAATACAATAATTTATATGCCACTACTAATTCTACGTTGGAAACCAACTCCCCAGAAGTCGAAACTTGTAAGGGGGTACCAAAATATACTTCTATCATCTAATAGATCTAATTACACAATAGATGGTCAACGTATATGGCGAACATTCTGCCTGTGCGAATTATTTGCCATCTATTAGGTAGTAGCCGAACGTCTAAAAATAACAGATCGCTAATTTTTCATAAACCTTAGCTAAATCAGAGGGTGTGTATAATCTCTGGGTAATAAATCGTAGGCGGGGCTTGTTCAATGGAATTCGTGTCTAAAAACAAACAATATGGCATCGTAGAGGGGGAATGGGTAATATGGAAGATTCATAAATCGTTGATCTAACCATAGATATCTAACTAATTAGGGACTAAATCGGAATATCGGATCATGCACTATTGAAGTTTCAACCATCATAAAACGATAAAACGAATCATAAGTATTTAAATTAAATACGTATGTTTTATATAAGTACCGGATTTATGATTTAGGTCTATGACAATATACACCCTTTCATTTACTCCATGGGCGTCACTACTGCTTGGCAAGGGGGCTGTGCAACTCTGGCTAATTTGTTTTCTTGAAATATTTAGGTATCTATATTGTGATGGTATGAGGTTACCTACTGTGATTTAAGTAAGCAGGTGAGTTTAGTTATCAGTAGGTAGTAATATCCCTAGGACATTAATAATAGACGAGATAATTTTATGACAATCGAAAGCTCCTTTCCAGGACGAGCTTGGGAAATAAATCATAATATTATGACGCATTTGTCAATGTCGGATAGATATTCAGCGGAAAATTTACTTGACAATCGTGTTGTCATAGTGATTGATAATTGCACTGAATGCAATTATCAATGTAATGTTGACATGATTGGGTGAAATTGAAATATGACACAAAATGATGAAATTTGAATGGTTGTTAGAACTGTCAAAAAATTTTCAATTAAAGGACTGTTGATGTCTCGAGTGTTTATGAAAATATGAAGCAAGAAAAATTAGTCAACAGGTAGGTATAGGTACCTACTAGAATATGTTTTTGTTTTTTTTTTTCGAGCGATCGAAAATGTTTAATTTGTTCTTCAATACTTTACCTATACATTAATATGTACTGAAAAAATATCTAGCACAGATGTTTCTATGGACTTAACCTCACAAAATATGAATATTCGAAAAGGGATATATATATATCTAACTACTTGATCAAAAGGCATTTGATATTGACCAAAAACGATACGTTATTCCACATTAAATATGGCGCACGTCTCAATATGGTGGACTTTTTCTTCTTAATCTCGAAAATTGAAAATTTTGCAATGATCATTCACTATTAAGTTATTTTTTTCTTCGTTGTGAGATTGAAATAGCATTTTGGTTGTGCAACAATATGTATTTACTGGAATATTCACATCATATAGGTACATTTTAAAACTCAAAAGTATTCAGGTACTTCTCCAGTCTGGAAGATCATTCTGGAATTCAATTAGTAATAAAATAATTATAAAAAAAACTAGTACGTATTACAGCTTGTTTTAATGAAAATAATATCCAACATTGTTTTAGGAAAATAAGAGCTATCCAAACGCAAAAAAAAAAAACAGAAAACCTGAATCAATTGAAATTACCTCAGAAGGTAGATATACTTATAATTTCTCAACTTTTCAATATACTCAATTTCTGATGTTTTTTAGTTTCTGATTTTTTATTATACTTGGACATTTCTTTACATTCTCTATAAAGTTTACATAGTATGAGATGATCCACAATAAAATCCATGTGCTCTTTACATTCAACTCTTTGGAGAATTTGGCACTTCTTATGAAGTTTTTTAAAAATTTGATTTTTTATAAATAATCTTGTTTTATTTCTATATGGCTTCTTGTTGAACGTTTTAGAGAAATATGTCAATGCTCTCTCTACCAAACTCTTGAGGTCATCACCAGGGTATTTCAAATGTTGAATGCTAGTGCCATAGTTTTTATTAATGATCAGTAGTTGTTTTGGATCATTCAATATAATATCAGTATCATCCACAATCAGAAATTCTTTACATTTATTACATTCGAATTTTTCCACGCACTTTTTTGCCAAGTATCCTGCGAAGTATGAATTAGAACAGTCTTCTAGAGTTACATCAGATGAACTGTCTTCTTCATCTGATGAAGATGAGGATGATGGAAATATTTCATTATCAATTGAATTTTCTGTGGAAGGCGGATCACCAGGCACTTCTATATAACCTTCGGTGAGATAAGATGCCGTAGAAGTCGTAGTCTTAGATGGAATCGTCATCAAATTAACATCATCATCTTCTTCACAATTACTCGTATCAGATGATTTCATCAAATTCATTCTAGCAATGAATCGGAAAGTGCATCTAAAAGTTCTCACAGTTGGGTTCGGGTTGAATCCACCTCTTTGTCTGACATTTGAAAATGTGTTTTCAATCACATCTTGATTTAATCTATTTGTCAAAAGGTAACTGAATCCTAACTCTTTTTGCGTTTTGTAAATCTCTAAAATCGAGGATAGAGTGATTAATATGCCATCAAAACAGGGAGGTCTAGAATGTCCAGTTGTTGTGAGTTTCTGAATATCTGTCAAAGTGTTTCTTGCTGATATAATAGTATTTTCTACCAAAGGACGTTCATCAGACATTGCGCAATTATATGGATTTTTGACATACAACTGTTTACTGTTTAAACAATCGAATAAATTGTTCATCATTTGGATGAAATCTGCTGAAGCCAGAGCAGTATCACTTTTCAATTGTGATATCTGATTGCAAGTTCTTATTGCAGAAGCAACAGAATTACTAAAAATTTGAAGTGCCAAACTGCAGCTCATCTTTTCGAATGGTGATGGATTCATATGGGCAGGAGTAAGTTTGAGCAGAGTCCTTCCTGTTTTGCTACTCGAATCTATACGATATGCCTCTCTTACATCATTGAATGAAACTCTCCTACCCATCCACATGAAGTCATTATGTAACCAATTACTTCTGAAGTTTTTGAATAAATGTAATGGGTCGAAAATGCAATATATTTTGGTACCATCAATTTCGAAATACGGCTTTTCAATCGACACTTCCAAATTTCTCATAGTTGCTTGGTTGTTTGTTCCCTGGTCACAAACTACTGCTTTAACAATGAGACCAGTATTCGATACTAGTTGAATTGCTTTAATGAGCACTTCTTTCAAAATAGAGTGTTTCATTGCATTACCACAGACAAAATATCCCAAAGGAATCTTCCACTTAGAATAAATTCCTCTTGCTAGGAATACCATCACTTGGGAACCCTGTGCCTTAGATCTACCACCAATTACTCCCAGATCTTCAAATCCCTCAATGGTGTCTAATAATTTGGAGTACTCGAACATTTTTTTGATTTTCATTTCATCAAATACAATTGTGCAATACTTTTCTGACTCGTCCATAACTTGTACTTTTTGTGTGATTTGATAGAAATGTTTTTTATCGAAACCCGGCCTGAATGGAGAACTTCCAATCCATTTTCTTATTGTCGATAAAGCAGGTAAAACAATGTTCAACTTGTTTCTAAGAAACTTGTATGTCGATGGAGATTTATAAAATGTCAATAATGAAAATTCTTTCTCATCTTTCGTCCACATGGTTTTTTTCCGATGTGAAGTTTGCATTCTTGTGACTGCACGAGAATACTTTGATTTAAATTTTATTTTGTCAATGACATGTTGAGAGCCTCTGTGCTGTTTCAACATAGCACATTTATTTCTCAAATATGAAATTGTTGATCTTTTGTTCTTCAAAATACATCTCTGATTTTGAATTGTTGTTTTCAATTTTTTCTTAATTGGTGTGTCAGCTTCATCATAAGAAAGTTTTCTTTTTGATTTAGGACTCGATGGCATATTGGTAATGTCTATAATATATTGTTTCGTCTCGTCGGAAATCTGCGAATCTGAATCACTGGATTCTCTTCTCGAAGTGAACGATTCTTCTAGTAGAACATCTGGCAAGGAATCATGCAACATGACATTTTCGTAGGTTCTGGTAGGTTTCACAAAACTCAGATTTTCTGGGCTCAAAGAAACATCGTATGACTCCCTAGACGTCGAAGGTAAGTTTCTAAATAGAACAGGTGATTGACTTTTTCGGTTAGTGTCTTTCACAACGATCGCTCCATCAGAGAAACGTTTCGGAACAGCAGTTTTTTTCAACAATTTTCGATTCAACGTATTCCGGAAGTCATCTTCAGAGAAATGATCTGCACAAACAACTTTTTTCGAAAGGGTTTTCGGCGATAAATCCAGGAGTTGAACATTTCCTGAAAAATCATATTATTATACTAATTATTTCGAAAACAATAATACATGTGATGGTTCTAGATTGAAATCTGTGATGGGTCATAACTTACGAACCACCCAATAATTGTTTGAAATTTGGTACGCCAATTAATTATCCTACTTCTACCCATTGATCTAAATATACTCTACCCAAGCGACTAGCCCATTTATTTAGGAATTAGTTTGTTTAAAATTGATATATTGACGTAAAATGGCATAAGAAACAGCCTAGGCTCGTCACTTTTGAGCAAAATTAATATTTTTTGACATACCTCGTAGGTATATAATGCTGAAAAAAATTGGTATCTGATAATTATATAAGTAGATTCAATTTTGTAATTAAGAAACATAATGTGTACGTCTTCTAAGCATTCGACCATTCTATAACAAGAAACTATAATCCGTCCGATGATCGGCTTATCCGATCGTTCCAACAACAGGTTTCAAAATGCAATTATGTTATTATTATTCGTATCAGGTAGTAGCTGTACGTCTTCAAGATGTACAATTTCGAACGATTTGAAAACGTACTCGAATATTCTTCAAGACATAAATTCGAGTAAACTTCAAATCAACATATGAAAGAAATGAAAAGTAATAGGTACTCAATCGAAACTATTTATCCTTCTCAACTCATTCACGGCACCTCAGACTGAAAATTGATAATTTTACGATGACAATGATGAATGCCAAAAAGTGACAAGTAGGCGAGCAAATACTATTCGATTTCTATCAAAATTAAAAATATACCTATTTGCGAAGTGGCGAAATGATAAAGTAAGAATCACTTCAGTCAAAAATGCAAATGTATTTAGGTACTATTTTCACCTCACACCGAATTCAACTTAAATTTAATGTGGAAGCAAAAAGTTACAAGGGTGAGCCACTCTGAGAAACACCCAATATACAGGGTGTTTCAGTTTTTTGTAGCAGGACTTCAACAGCTTGAAGAAGACATTTTTCTGAGATGAAACGCTCATACAAACATATATGCGTGGAAGCTTCGTTTCCGATCTACAGGGTGTCAAAGTTTCAGATTTTTTCTATGTTTTTTTAATTTTCTCCTACAATTTTCGGAATAATTGATTGACATTTGGTACACCTAATACACTTCAAAAACTTAACATTTGAGGCAATAAAGCGTTTTTGAATACCTACAAGGTGATAGACTTTCAGGGGTCGTACCCAATTTAACCCTGTAGAACTTTTTTGCGTGCATGCCGTCTCTGCTTTCAATGGGACATAGATTCAGATCGTCCTTTCAATTTGGAAACTTTTTGCTTTTATGTAAATTTTTCGATAACTGTATGGATCTCGACATAAGTGCCAAAAATAAATTACTTGTAATAAAATCGTTATTTCTCAAACACACTTATTTGACATTTCTCAAACATTTTATTGGAAAATAGAATGACCGAAAGCTTCCATACCGAATGAAATTCAGTTGCAAAATTAGATTGAAATTTTTGAACACCATTATTCTAACTGCAAGGAAATTCATAAACTAGTTGTTGATTTTTGAATGTATACAATTTGTTACTGCACCGAGAAACAAAAATGATATGCCATTTTGTTCCTTAATGTATGTTCTAGAGAGACGGGTAGGTGGCTAATAGGGGTTCCATTTGGAAAAAAATAATTTTTGATCAAAAAGTGATGTGGCTGAATTGATTCCTGGATAAGTGACACAAAAAATAATTTTTCAGAAAAAATTATGTTCTTCTGTTATGTGCGACTCATTGTGAATAGTCTTGACCACATCTCATTTATCCACGAGGTAAAATGAAAAAACAATTTTAATTTGATTTTTTTCGAAAAAATGACATTTGAAATAAAGATTGCACTTGTTTCGACCTGTTGAACTTGAATATGTAGAAATATACAGGGTGTTTCATTTGAAAAAACAAAGTTGCTGGCATTTCCAGAAATACCGGAAGTCCGCCATATTGGATTGTAATGTGATCAAATCCGAAATAATTGCTTATATAACTGTACCGAATTTCAGAAAAATCCGTTGACGAAAGCAGAAGTTACAGGGGTGGCCCGATACCCTGTGTCACCCGGTATACTGATAAAATTAGAACTGCCGTTCACGAGATTAAATTATTGAAACTCACAACACCTCCTTAGAAGTGGTTCGGATTCCACATTTATTTATCTCGAAATCCATATTGTTTTCGAAAAACATACATGGGGGCAAGAAATTTCCAAATTGCAGAGACAATCTGAATCTATGTCCCATTGAAAGCAGAGGCGGCACGCAAAAAAGTTCTACAGGGTTAAATTGGGTACGACCCCTGAAAGTCTATCACCCTGTAGATATTCAAAGACACTCTATAGCCTCAAATATTAAGTTTTTGAAGTGTATTAGGTGTACCAAATGCCAATCAATTATTCCGAAAATTGTCGGAGAAAATTAAAAAAACAAAAAAAAAATCTGAAACTTTGACACCCTGTAAATCGAAAACGGAGCTTCCACGCATATATGTTTGTATGAGATTTTCATCTCAAAAAAATGTCTTCTTCAAGCTGTTGAAGTCCTGCTACAAAAAATTGAAACACCCTGTATATTGAGACAATATTCAGGTCATTCCAAGTGAATGTGTATACAGGGTGTTACAAATTCGTGGTTATATAAGCATGAGGATCTCGGTAACCTTAAGAGATACAGAGAAGGTCAAATCAGGGCAAAGTTGCGCAATTTCATAATCAAGAAAAAGATATCTTTTTCTATTATACAGTGTTTTTGTTATTAATTTGTCTTTGTCTGATACACTATTCAGAGTACTTTATAATTGAATTGATCTAATAATACATTTTGTAAAACAGCAATTCAATTATAAAGTAGGTATAACCATGTATAACCATAGATCTAAACTGCTGCACATAGTTACGTCCGATTTTCAATTTTACGATTCCATTTCGTAGAGGAAGAAAAGTGGCAATGATGAAGTGACAATCATTTTGAAATATCTCTTCAAACAAACTGAGAAATAAATAGAAACAATTTTGCGTATTTTTGTTTTTTTCCGAATAGTTCCGGAAATAATTGAAATTTTTTCTATTACAAAGCAGGATTTTGTTGAGCATAAAATTGCGCAACTTTGCCCTAATTCAACCTACTTTGTATCTCTTAAGATTACCGAGATCCCCATGCTTATTCACGAATTTGTAACACCCCGTATATATGTATAATAGGTAATAGGGTAGATGCACTGGTTAACCGACCAGCACTGATTCTCGATTGTTCTGGCATTTGAGACGAAATACTTTCAATTTTTTTTGTAAATACTGAAAAAATGTTGTATGCAACTCGTTCACTTTTTGCGCTTGTTGCATAAATAAGTATTCACATTTAAATATGCACCATGTTTTAACATGGAGTAGGTACCTATTGCAGTTGTACAAAAATTATTTACAAATCTCTTTCAAGTTTGCAAGGAATCGGTAGGTATACACTAACTCCAATACAATGTTATAATTTTAGACGAATTTTCCACTCTCAAAGTTGACATTTCGGTTCAATGGTCGAGAACTAGTGCAATAATTACCCTATTAAATCATATTTTTTCTTACCTGTATTTATCACCCATTCTCGACTGAGTTGCTCGGATTTTGGAAAGCTGAATTGTTGTAGATTTGGGTATGCTCTCTTGGTTTTCCCACAATTATGATAACAACACTTATTTCCACTTTTAACCATTTTTCGAAATAAATTTGCACAATAGCTCGCTAAATAACACTTTGGATAATACACACGTAATTGAACACAATGAATTGAAATACCTAATTTCTTCTTCTTATAGGTACCTATCTACCTGAGATATATATTATTTACCCATTACCCCAATATCTATGCCTACCTAATTTCACCTTGCCACGCCTACCCCTACCATATTGTGCCCTTTCTTTTTATCATAGATCTAATTCCAATCAAATACGTATCAAAAATTCGACCCATACCCGAATTACCTCAATATCTACCTATCTTATTTATTATTCTCGGGCATTTCTTAACCCCCTAATCAAACTCAGAGCATAGATCTCTCAGAGGTAATTCTCGAATCTCTACGAATTCTTCCACATCTGTGCATATTTCATTTCATTTCTAGCGACATCAGATGCACGCGGCATAGATCTAAATACACGCGGAAAGAATACCTATTAATTATTTTACAATTTGTTTTGCCCTAAGAATCTAGCAAGAGCAAGACGGCAGCGGCAGACGGCTTCCTGACCTACCGCATATAACCCCTTTCTATCCCTTCCACTTCTAATCATAAATCATTCCAAGCTCCGGGCCACGCCGTTACGCCACGCCCCATATCGTGAAGAACAAGTTGGCGAAACTGATTTTCCAGTTCTACCAACAGTGTTTTATGCAGAAACAGCACCATCTAGCAACTCAAATCCAGTACTAGAAAATTTCACATCCAAATCGTGAGCGCGATAAATTTACACGGCGGTTGTCCATCTATTGTGTAATTAGATCTATTAGATCTATGCTTCTATGTACAATCGCCTAAAGATCACCCAGTATGTATGTATTTGAGAATGATCTTATAAAATCGTACGATTTGAAAGGTTTCAAATTGAGATGTTACTTCAGTCAATGAACGCCAAAAAGTGGGTGTAGAGGACATGGAAGAGGAAATTTTTTCGAGACTAGGGATATATTCGGAGTAAATAGGAAGTGAAAATTTCAAAAATCCCCGATAGGTCCCTTTTTTGAATTATCGTTAATATCATGGAAACGGTGCATTACAGCATAAAAGTCAATGTATTCAGAATTGTAGCTGATAAAATTATCTACAAAATTGGGTTCGTAGTTTTTTCCGTATCTTTCATTGTTTTCGAGATATTCGCTAGCGGATCATGTAAATTTAATTTTCAGAACTGAAATTTTTTCAGGAAAAATATGAATAATTGGTGAATTGGACGTCTTCATTTCGAATCCGAAGTGATTTTCAACTATCATTACTCCTGATATCATTTTCCGGAAATATGGGTGGTTCCATGGTTGTTGGCGAACAGTGTAACATTATTTTCCGAGTTACTCTCAACGAGCCGTTTCATTTGATACTCATATTGTAAAAGTAGATTAAAAATAACTATTCCGCCATCTTGGATGGTCTGCCATATTGGATTTAGAATGACGCCACATTATTTTTCGAGTTGTTCTCAACGAGACCTTTCATTTGATACCCATATTGTAGAAGTGAATCAAAAATAACTATTCCGCCATCTTGGATAGTCTGCCATATTGGATTTAGTATGACGTCACATTATTTTTCGAGTTATTCTTAACAAGTCCTTTCATTTGATACCCATATTGTGGAAGTGCATTAAAAATAACTATTCCGCCATCTTGGATGGTCCGCCATATTGGATTTAGAATAACTTCACACAGCTTATCGTGCATTGTCATCCAAACTAAACGTGTATACAAAATTTCAGCTCAATCGGTTGAAGATATCTACTTCAAAATTGTGTTCTAAGATTCCACCCGAACTAACATACATACATACATCCATACATTGCAAGTTGAATAAAAGCTATTAATAATTAATAAAAAAAGTGACCTTTTATGTCGCTCCCTGCACTTGGCTCCTCTCGTAGGTTCGAGGTCCTTTGGAATTTATACTTCCAATCCCTATTCTCAAAAAATTCTTCTTCCATGTCCTCTACAACCCGTTTATTCACTGAACTATATGCAAAGTGGCATGTACGCGATACGAATTTTCAGTTTGTGCGAGCAAATGGTGATAACCAAAGAAGACGATAACGGCATCCCGCACATCGTCGGCAACATAACCAACGACCTCTATGCCGTCCCCATGAAAAAATTCAGCCCGAAATCACCGCAACAGATAGACAAGTCCGACAGTCCCGAAAAAGAATGGAACAGTCAGAATGAACTACCGCCAGGCTGGGAAAAACACGAAGGTACAGCTTGAAAATAATTTTGCCTAAACATCGATATATCCGATAGTTCTGACTAGAGTTCCTAAATGTTCTTGACACTGCTGTTTTGACGTTTTTGTATATTAGAGTACGGACACTAGACAAGCAGTGACAATCAAACCACAAACGATTTTGAAGCAAATCATATGTTTTGCGAGACAAAGACAAGAACATGTTTTTCGCTTAGATAAAGGATCCTCGCATCTTCCATCCTCCACAAGTCCTGGGGAGAGTACATCCATATATCTTCCTCTGTCTTTGATTTTTGTATGAGACGGCGTAGCGTCTCCTCGAGTAGGTAAGAGGGTACGATAAATTGATTAGAAAATTATTTCTTCTCGAAATATTGAATGATAAGGCTGAAGGACCTCAATGGAGGTCGATATCAAGTTAGTAGGTACATAATATACATCAACAAAATACATATAGTATTCCTATAGAATTAGTCTCTCATATGTAGGTATATAAATTCGTTCAGTTGAATATTTGTTTATCACAAAAGTTCAGAATGGGGTAAAAACTGATAAATTTCAAGAAAATTAGTACAAGAGTGGTAAGTTATATGTAATTAATAAATAAACAAATGATATGGCAACAATAACAGCTGATTTCAGTTAGGATAAATAATATAGGTTCTCTAAGACATACGGAAGTAGGTATAAATGGACTTCAGCGCTCGACTCACTATAGATCGCCGTTCACATTGCTAAAGGGGATTGTTGGTTGAACCCGGCATCGGAAGATCATTTTCAATACCTAAAATAAATGGTGCACCTGTTGAGCGTTCTTGTTCTGTGCTCTGATAATATCTTGCTCGTATCTTGGTACCCAAGAAGTGGTTCAAAATCCACTAGGAGCTATGTAGTCGTCTAGCACTTCCCAACTACGCATGAACATGCACATTCAGACTTGGGATTTCAACTTTGAAGAAGTGATACACGAGCAAAGTATTCAACTATTTGATATAAATACATCAATATCTGGTACATCAGAGTTCCACAAAGTGACTATATGTTTTTACAAAATTATTATAAGAGTTGGTATACGATAATGATCTAAAGAATTCTTGGTTGAACAGGAATGTGAAATCAGTTTGAGTCAGTCAATTCAAGAAGTTTTTGCTATTTCATCATCAGATTATCTCCATGGTGATCATTGTGATCTTTGCGCCATCATTCCATCACAAGCAATAACCAGAGCCTAAATTGGAATAAGGTTCTTTTCGATACTCGCTCAGTTTATAAATTGTGGGTTCGGCTTTTTCGCTCAATACGATCCTATTCTTCAACTTCCTACCAAGAAATTTAAATACCTCGCAAATTTTGTGGCCTGAACCTATATTCCATGCCGGCTGCATCATATTCTGTTTCCATTTTTGTAGAATCATGTTATCCGATGGAAATTCAAATAGAGTGAATTGATTTCTCGTGTTCTCAAAGTTGGAAACTGCACAAACTTGCATCTTTCTCCTAATTCTCTCAATTTGTCAAACCTTTGAAATTTATGTCATGTACATCCGTGTACTGTCAGTTCCCGCTTTTTCCATCAATTTATTTGTGGTTATGTCTGATTGTCAGTGCTTGTCATAGTGTCCGTACTCTGATATACAAATAACGTCAAAATCAGCAGTGTCAAGTACATTTAGGAACTCTAGTTCTGACTAGTGTGACTTTTTTAATAAAATATGCAGCACTAATTTCTTCGCACCTCAAAATTTTGCCTCTGTTGAAATATGAATAACTTTTTTCTGCTTTGAACGATTTGAATTCAGATCACACTGTTCGCTAGCCCAGTCCTTCAGCTATAATCTCGTATTTCTTAAAAACATAAGGTTCTTCACATAAAATCGCTACAGGGTGTTACCTGAAACTGCAAAATTATCATTTCCGTCACAAAATATGCACACTCTTGCATGGATGGGAAAGGCAACATTCAGGTTCATAGAATGAAAGTTATCCCGAATTCCAAGTTCCTCTATAATGAATCAATTACAGTTCAGAAATAAATGAGGGGTATATCCTTTCTTCCTAGAACCCGTCGACGATGTATTGCGATTGCTTGCTGCTCAACATTTTGATCTCCATCGATGCGTGCCATAGCATTGATATTGCCTTCGCTATCGCATATAAAGCAACGAAACCTATTCTGGATAAGCCATCTTATATGTATTTGAACAAAGTAATACGCTTTTGCTCAATGACTTTTACTGACATAACATGAATGGCCATTATCTGACAACTCAAAAATATCATATTAGCCAAAACCATATTACACACAGGATGTTCTGTTCCAGTAGAGGTAATCTCGTTTGGCTTCAAGAGCTTATAACTTCTTTTAACGGGCATAACGGACCTAGACCAGAGGACAATTCTTGTTCAGCATGATTTGATCTATCCAATGCTAGATTTTCACAAAATTTCACCGTATACAAGATTTCAATGTAAATGATGCGGGGTCCTTTATTTTCGATATCAGCGTTTTCTTTTTCCGAGGCATTTTCACGAACCTTGTGACTATGTTTTTTCAGATAACGATGGCCCTTATTATTGGCACATAAAAAGCGGCACCATCCAAAGGGAGATACCATTGTTGGACAACAAAGTGGAAAAGTCCGAATCGAAAAGCAATCTGCGCGAAAGCGACTTGATTTCCTCATTCGAAAGCTCAATGTCAGTGACAAGAAGCAGCACAAGCTCAGCTCTGGACTTGGATAGTGAAGACAGGAAGAGGAAGGATGACATAGCTTTAAAGTGAGAATTGAAAAATATTTTTTCCACGGCTATAACACAAAATTGTTCTTGTTTTACTGTGTTTTCGATACATCAATGAGGTACTTTGTATGTCATCAATTTCATTTCCGTATCTGATTTCACAATGACTCCATAGGTCGCGTGCACGATGACTCACCCTGGAGGTAAAATACTGACACACAACTTCACTCTTTTGTGAAACATTGAAACACAACCTCACTTTTTCATTTGTTTACAGAGGAATCAAAGGATTGAAATAATTTTCCACAATATTTTGGCATACGAATCGTGATTTTTGCGCTATTCCTTAATGCAAGCATGCCTTTTCATTGTGCTGTTAGTACAATGCACAAAAAATGCCGTCAGAGACGAAGGAATATGATTTTTCAGGTAAATAGTAATCTCACATAGTTTCAATTATGACATTTTGTCATTTCTTATTAAAATTCTTTCTGCCACTTCTGCAATAGAGGCTAATACTGCTAATAGATTGAAAATGGCTATAACACACACGATCATATTTCTTCAGCATGTCAGAACAGTCCTCCCCTTTGATTGCATGAATCCAATCTTCTTACATTCTTTCAGAAATTTCACGAGTATTTCTATTAGCTCCTGTTGCAAAAGGAATATCGATGAGAAATCAGAGAAATTACCAAATTTCAAAATGAAAACTATATATGAGTGACTATAGTAGGTACTTACTTTCAAATCATACTAACCGGATTCCTTCGTTGCTCGCTGCATTTTTTGTGCATTGTACAACAGCTGATTGTGATGGCATGCGCGAATTAATGAATAGCCGAAAAACACAATGTGGTCCTTCGAACCGGATCACAATGCTATCGCTAATGACGATTTTAACTTTCAGAAAACCTTTTTTCTTTATTTCGTATCGAATCTGACCATTGCAAACATATTTTTGACTCACTGACTTTTCCTGCCAAAAACCTATCATGTGTAACAGAATTAAATAAAATATGAATTAACTTGAATTAGCCGTCACACGACCGCTCGGCAACTAAAAACCCTCTAGTTGAGGGCTCCCGGTCTAATTCGTCGATTGGACTATAATCAGAAAAAAATCAGGCACAATCTAACGAGTACCAATGCAATATGTTTCTTCGTTTCTCAGAAGAAGGAGTTTCCCTTCGAAACCCGAGCAAGCGGACGCGAAAGACCGTCCGATCCGTTTCGCCGTACGTTCGCTCGGCTGGGTGGAGATCTCCGAGGACGATCTGACGCCAGAGCGCAGCAGCAAGGCGGTCAACAAGTGCATCGTCGATCTGTCCTTGGGCAAGAACGACCTGTTGGACGTGGTGGGCAGATGGGGGGACGTAAGTACGGTGTCTACTCGTGTTTTGTTCTTTTTTTTTTCGTCAGTTTCGAGGCCAATTTTATTTTTAATTTACATCAACTCCATATTCACTTAGAAATTGAAATGAAAACTTGAATTCTCTGAAGAAGATACAACTATAATCTATACTGCAAGAAACATACTTGTTTATAATAGGGGTATATAAACATATAATATATATATATAACAATAAAAAAACAACTAATTAACAAGTTATGTCAATATAACGTAATAATTAAAATAAAATCATTCCAAGTATTTAAATCAGAATAAATTGTTCCGTTTATAGTGTCATGAGTATATATTTTTTCATATTGACTTCGAATCTTGTTTGATCATCTATATGTTTCAAATCACAAGGTAATGAGTTATATAAAATGATTCCGTTGTAAAATACTAATTGTTTGCCAATAATGGTGTTATATGGGATTGCTATTAATGAATTCAACTGTCTCGTTTCATGAGTATGAATTATATTTACTTCAGTGAAGTTCAAATTGGATATTTTAAATTTTTTTTTCTCACAAAATGAACACAACAAATGTTCATTTTATATAAAGATGATGAATTCAACAGATTTTTTTATTTATAAAGTTTAGTAGTTGGTTCTAGGTAATGTAAATTGTGAATGCACTTAATTGTTTTATTTTGTAATTTTATTAATGGTTTCAAATGTGATATACTTGTGCTTCCCCAAATTGATATTAAATATTGTAATTTTGAGTAAATCAGATAGAAATATAATTATATTCTCCAAATATCTAAGAGGAACGAAATTTCGAATTTTGTATAAAATGCCAGTAATTGAATTTTGCTTTTTTCTCAGGTGATCTATATGTTTAGTCCACGATAATTGTTCATTAATATAAAGACCTAAGAATTTTTGTAACATCTAAATATTTTATGGCTTTCTAGTTGAAAAATATTGTAGTTTTCGATATATCAGTTTTTCTTTTTGAAATATACATATACGTAGATTTGACGGGTGGCGGAAATTTGATCGAAAGACAAATGATAGAAAAACATTTGATAGAAAGTCTTTTGATTGAAAGTGTTTTTGATAGAACTGCATTTGATCGAATGTTTCATGATAGAAAATACATTTGATAGAAACATAAATGATAGAAAATACACCTGAATCCTGGTAGAAACAGCATTTGATAGAAAATTCAACGGGGCTACGCTCAAGTTAGGTCAGTACGTTTGTGAAGATATGATCCTTCTTCATATATTTGAGAAGAAGGAGCTAGATGGAAATCGAAGCTTATGAATTTATTGATACCACAAACTTCTAGCTCCTTCTTCTCAAATATATGAGGAAGGATCATATCTTCACAAACGAACTGACCTAACTTGAGCGTAGCCCCGTTGAATTTTCTATCAAATGCTGTTTCTATCAAGTGTATTTTCTATCAAATATTTTTTCAGTCGATTGTATTTTCAATCATTTATGTTTCTATCAAATGTATTTTTTATCATAAAACATTCGATCAAATGTATTTCGGTGAAAAGTTCTTTCAATTTTTTGATTTTCCATCAATAGTCTTCTATCAAATGTTTTTCTATCATTTGTCTTTCGATCAAATTTCCGCCACCCAGATTTGACATAGTTGAGAGTCAGCTTATGAATTTTGTAGCATTTTCAAGTCACTTTTTATATCATCAACTATATCTTTTGCCAAACTGTCAAATTTTGCTATCCATGGCTATACTACAAGCTAAATATCATATTTTCATTATAATTGTTGTTTTATAATGTTTTAGGCCAGGATCTTCCATATAACTCAATGTGCCAAAACAACAACCCAATAGCACTCATTATTAATATTCATATTTAGATTGTAACATTTTATTATTTGTTCTAAAATTTTTCTAAAATTTGTTCTATCCGTCATTCGGTTGCCCCCTTACGAGCAACCCTCAAAAGTCTTCGAGAGTCTTGTGCGAGCAAGGAATGACGGGGGCCTTACCTTTTAACGTGTGATCCCAAAGACTTTCTTGGGCCATCAGAAAAATTTCTGCAGTCGACGGGGATCGAACCCACGACCGGCAAGCGAATGCGAATTAGAATATAGACACTCTGTCCGCACGGCTACCTGGCCACCCAATATACATTCATTCATCAAATACTCTTCATGAATCATTCAATTAATTTTAGGGAAAAGACTTGTTCATGGATCTGGACGAAGGTGCTCTCAAATTATTCGATCCAGAAAATTTGACGGTCCTCAATACCCAACCGATTCATACCATTAGGGTTTGGGGAGTTGGAAGGGATAATGGAAGGTAATCTTTGCAACAAATTCAACCTTGTCTGTACTGAGCGTTTCAAAAAATATGTTACGAAAAAATAAAGTGTGTCACCCCTGGAATGTTATAGCTTGTTTTTAGGACAAAAACTGATTAGTAAGAATAGATATGACGTGAATAATATGTTATCTCTCAGAATAGAATTCGATAAGCCAGTTGAAACAATTTTTGTAACAATTATTTTTTGAAACACCCTGCATACGTTGACTAGACTAGAATTTACATCATTTAGATCATAGATTTGTAGTTTAGTAATATTTTTATCCATTTTGTTCGCTGCTTGGGATAAATAGAGAAAGGTAACTAGTGTTAGAAATAGTCTACAGGATGTCATAGAAAAAACGCCGCAAACTGAAATGAAAATGAAAAATAACAAGTGATGATTCGAACAATACTATGAACTAGGGCAAATGGGTATTTCACATGTTTTTTATGTAACCCAAATATCAACTTGTAGTACAGAAAATGAAAAGAACATATTTTTTGAAAATTGCCTTCGTTCTTCTCTATCAACACTTCACAGTGACAGAAGTTGACAGAAAAAAGTGAATTACAGGATGTTTTTATTAATTGATCTTGGATTTAGAATTTTCATCCATTCAACGTGCAAACGGCCGTAGGGATAACATACTTGTCAGTGCTTCCCATTCAGAAATATATATATTTTTATCACCTGGTATACAACTGTACCTATCCTATTCACGATTTCATTTGAGGTAAAAGAAAACGGAATTCAACTGAAGAACAAAATATTCATCATTCCAATTGAAAAAAATGTGGATTTTATTCTTACTTTATAGTGTTTTCCACTCGTCGCACTAGTGAAAATTTCAAGAGCGAACTTTTGTCGAGAAATGATTTCCACTGGCTTTCAAATTTGCTCGATGCCCGCTCAGAGTTCGAGTTTTCAGAACTGTGCTTGTACGACACATAACCTCAAATATTCGAGTCACGAGTTGGAAAATGTTTGGAATTTTAATAATTATAAATGTATCATTGAAGTTTATTACCATTATTACAATAATTTCCGAAATCATAGATACTTCGGATACAAGCGATGATAAAGAAATGATGATTGAGGTACACAGTAGTACTTCGCGTTACGAAACAGCGTTTACGGAAGATTCAAGAGTTAAAAAAGCTATTCAGATGTGCAGGTATTAAACATATTTGATTGTTGATTCAGTTGTGATGAAAAATACTAACTTCGTGAACGACACTTCAATGCTACATCACTATTGTTGAATGATTCAATTGAACATCATTGACAATGAACAGTCATATATGAAACTGTTTCTGGCTGGTTTCTGGCAGTGTTCACAGGGAAACCACAATAAGAGGTAGATGAATCCATTTCATGTGGACCAACAGAACCAAATGTACTTTCAATAATTCAACTTTTCGACTGACAAAGCAATTATTCTGACATTTCTGATGACAAGAAGCCGAAACATTCACCGTCAACGCTTCAGTACATGGGTTCTCGGGGGTAATTGCCAGCAAGCACTGCAAGCAGCAGAATTTCTATCCTGATTTTTATATCGGCCTCGGTTACCACAAAACTGTTTTCATCAAACAATCTCTCCAAGGTCTGAACTACACTATCGTTCTTTACATCCACTAACATTTTTTTGTACTTGTCCACCTGGGCTTCTCCTCCAATTTTCTAAGCTTTCCTGAGAAAAAGTACTGAAAGCGGCACGTTGTCGTCGGGGCTGTTGCTATTGTCGCTCTCCATGAGTCCTTGACTTCTAGCAGCTACTTCAGATGAAGGAATTCCATCATCTGACGAACACGGAATTTCAACTTCTCAAGGAATATCAATGGAGAAATTAGATATTATTATACCAATATCGTTTTCGTCAAATTCATCTCGATCTCGTTGACTGTCTACCTCAGATGGAATAATAATTATTTCAGGCTCAAGGTTTGAAAAAAGTACATCATCCATTCCTTCTTCTAATGTTTTGAAACGTTTGCCATAGTAGCATTTCGAAGAAATTGGCTGAATATTATTATTTATTGAGAACCCAGTTCTGAAATAAAATTCCGAAATTCATCACACATATCTTCCCATTGTACCCAAATGAGTACACCATTGTTTTCTTCTCGGTTATGTAAGGAATGATGAAAAATTAAGTGTCAGGATAGTATAAGATGAAAATTTTCAACGGTCGCAGTGCAAATAGTATCTCTTGAAAACAAGAGATGAGTCAGCACTTGTTTACACAATCTCTTTAGTTGACATGATCGGCATTCACGCCATTTGTGAGTACATCTCAAAATTACGAGTTTCTTGTATATTGCAGAATACTACCACGTCATTATTTTGTTGAAAATTTTCAATAGATGTAAATAGTATACCATAATTTGCAGTGTACTCAAATGAGTACAGTGGGAGGTAATGGGCATTTCGCATATTTAAAAAATGGATAAAGCACAGCTTGCGGCGTTTTCCACAAGTTATTCAGATAGGGATGAGAAAAAGGGCGCCGAACATTATTCGTGGCATAATTTTGCAGGGATTTCGCGTATGTAGCCAGAGACAGGAGTACGCGCAAGCATATGTGTCACGTGTTCAGGTGCGACATGCCGGCCAGGACGATCGCGAACACTCTCCGTGACATATGCAAAAAGATCATGATCGAGCGAAGTTTGCAACAGAACTTGGGCAAGGCCATCGACCCTACAGGGAAATCGCAAGCGACCAGACCAAACAATCTACCGACAGAGCACAGACGTCCTACGAGGAATTCGCAAATATTCATTTGTGAGTATTTCCGAGCAGGACGGAACGAATATTTCGTATTGTGCACTAGACACTGTTTTACCCCTAACCAAACCGATTATTCTACGCCAAGACACGTGTTTCGCTAACTGTGTTAGCATCTTCAGGAGAAGATTAGAACTGAATGTTCTATCCTTGTGTGTTAGTTGCTCTTATTTTCAATTATCAGCAATACACTCGTTTTGTATCTAATAGAAGTTGAATAATCTTTCAAATCTTCCTAGCCAGAATAGGGATAACCAACTCCGACTCATGTGAGGTGTGCAATGTGAAAGGGGATCTAGATCACATATTCTTCAACTGCAGAATTACAAGACAAGAAAGCCAAGAGCTCTACTCTGATCTTCTGAATATGAAAACCCCCACCCCCATCAACTTGCTTAATCTCTTAGCTTTTAATGATAAGAAAATAACAGGAAGTATCATAAAATTCATACAGAAAACGGGATTGAAGATTTGAATAGAAGTAGTCTAGCTTCGTGTTGTGTTCTACCTTATGTGTTATATACCCTCTTTCCATGATGGACCCCTTGGCGAGAAGAAACCTTGTGATCACATGTTTTTCCTGGTGTTCTCTTCTATTCAAGTTTCCAATTTTGCTGGTTGGATTTAGTATCAATGAAAAATAGACATGAGTGACTGGCTGTATGGACCATGCCCAAATGCCAAAACAAAAACAAAAAAACTAGGATGACGTAATAAACCTCTCTTTTCAATACTTGTATGCTTTTTCATTGAATACAACTGTACGTGAGTCATGCCAAGTCAATTCATGTCACTCGTCACTAAGTACCAGTTCGGTCACTTGAATATTCTCGTGGAAATCCTAGCGTTCCTCGAAAAATAAACATCTCTGAATGGCGTACCTTCCAGCTCAATCGTTCCCCACGCCGATGGAAGAGCCAAAGAAGGTGCTCCGAGCCCAGTACCTCGGCAGCACCCAAGTCCACTGCTCCACCGGCATGGACAGCCTGAACGACTCCATCGACAGGCTGGCCCACAGAGTACCGCCCGACCAATGGCTGCCCGTCAACATCTCCATAGCGCCGTCTATGATCACCATACATCATTCCGGTGTGAGTAAATCACTGGTATATTCAATCATTTCAAATTGTAAAACGTCATATTGAAAAGCAATCAATTATGTAACTTTCCTTTAATTTGATCAACTTTCTATCTCTTGCCGTTCAGGAGATAGCAATACTGTCCCTATTGAATCGGCGGAACCCTGTACATGAAGGTATCATATTTTGCTGGAGAAGGATGAGGCATAATGTGTTAGTGCGTTGGTAGCACCTACTGTCATATTCAGTGTCATTTGTCGAATATAGAGTAGAGTAGTTTATTTAACCATGTTACATTATACAGATAAGTTTATGGCAGGTCAGAGAAGTAGAGTAGGGACTAGTTTTACAACAAGTCACAACAAGCTAAAATATCAACACTCAGATGTAATAAAATTCCATTAAAAGTTCTATGAATGCTTAGTGACAATGTTTCACATAAATCTTAAAAGTAAACAGTAAATAAATTATGAGAATAGTTGATGATTAAAAGTTAGTGAGGGTTGCTGGGCTGTGTGCACGTGAATATATACCAAAGAAGGGAAGATTTGTATTTCGTGCAAGATAATTTATTCAAAATATTCGTAGCAGAGTGCTTTCGACTGTTAAGTCATCATCAGTGCGTACCTGTAAGTAAGTGCTTTTAGCTATTGGAATGAAATTGTGATTGAAAATCCTAAAAAATTTCGAAAATTACTCCAGAGAAGGATGCCATAGAATATAACCGAATGAAATATGGAGAAATACGCTATTTTCAGTACATTAATATAAGTAATTGGTTTGAGTTGTCTCGATACAAATAGAACTTTCAATAGCCAATTTAAACGATCATCGATTATAATACTCAAAAAAATACCTTCTGTCCATTTTGATGAAGAGGATTAGAGGAAACTATTATATTTTGGAGTCTTCTGCTAATCAAATTTGAGTTTGTTCTGGGTGAACCAGCTTTTAGCCATATTTTCTGCGTAACCAGCAGTTTGACTCAAGGTGGCATGTATGTTAATGGTGCATATCAGAGTCGTGTCATCCGCAAATAAGATGCATTTTATAGGTGCAATAGACTGACATAGGTCGTTTATATATACGAGAAACAGAAACGGTCCAAGAACGGAACCCTGAGGTACACCATGTTCAATTTGTTTGAATCAACACATAGGTGTCTACTGTTGAGGTAAGAACTAATGAGATCTAAAACTTTGCCTCCCAATCCGTAGTGACTTAATTTTTGAATGAGTATCGCATGTGATACACAGTCAAAAGCCTTGGTCAGGTCACATAATGTTAATGGGGTATGTCTGCCATGATCAAGGCCCTCAACTATGTGGTAGATTTATTATTGCAAAAGCCATATTGTGAATCGCTGAAATAGAATCTATTTTCAAAATAAGAATAGAGACGATCTTTCAGTAGTTCGATAAATTTACCAATGATAGAAATAATGCTGATAGATAGATGATAGATGACTTTTCACATCGAAGCTTTTCACCCTTTTTGAAAATTGGTATGACTGGAAATTTTGAGTGCGTCAGGAAAAATACCTTCGCTGAAAATCAAATTCATCAGATTTGTTAATGGTGTTATGATTTAATCTGCTATTTCTTTATCGTCGCTATCATAAATTCTTTGAAAATCTTCGGGTCCAAGAATTTGATTTTCCTCTTGTAATAATTGTTAACCCACCAGTGATAAAGATGAAATCATTTTTGAATTGATTTCATTCACATTTGACATTTATTGATATCTTTTTGATGCCAATGTCACAATATGAAATGCATACTGATTTCGGCCTTGTATTTTCTAGGATGACCACCTGATAGCAGAATGCAGGGTCAGATATCTTTCGTTCTTAGGCATAGGAAAAGTCATCAAGCATTGTGCTTTTATCATGCACACTGCGCAAGACACTTTCATGTCGCATGTTTTCTACTGTGAACCTTCTTCGGGTGCTCTGTGCAAAACGATCGAGGCAGCTTGCAAGGTAAGATAACTATAATATGTCATATACCAAAGTCAAAAGTCAATATCTTCTTCGCTGTTTAGTATGGAAAAGTAGTCAAAAGTGTAAATATATGACATATAAGCTCGAGAAACAGGAACATACACACACACACACCCTCTTACACAGAAAATACAATTTTTGAATTTGGTCAAATAGACGAACAATAATGAAAGTAATCTACAAGTATAAATATAAAAGGACTGAAAAACAGACACTATAAAATAAATTCATTTTCCAAGCATGTGATTCTACAAAACTCGTATGATTTATTTATTTATTTATTTTATTTATTTATTTCAGTTATTGCATTACATTCTTTTCTTCATTGATACATTTCATACAAATAATATATAAAGTATAATTAATTTTCTAGTAGGAATGACATGAATGATCAGACAGTAATTCCTGGTATAAGATCATTCATGAAGTATTATCGACTGTTGTATAATTGAAATTACAAATAGTGAACAAAACTTACATATGATTAAGATACAGTCATATTATAGTGAACGAGAAGGGGAAAAATAAAAACAGTGAAAAAAAAAGAAAAAAGGAAATTCATGGTCTTTCAGCTTTGATCATTCCTTTGCATATAAATATATTTCTTAACTTTATTTTTGAATTGCATAATATTTGGGCTGTTTCTGATATCATCTGGTAATTTATTGAATTTCGAAATCGCCTCATGTGTAAACTTTTTTTGCCCAAGTTTAGAATTTGCAGCTTCAAGATGAAACAAGTTATATTGTCTAGTGTGATGATCATGAATTTCAGAATTCCTGATTAATATAAAATTTGATTTAAGCTTTTTGTTGATGATATAATAGGAAATTTTGAGAGTATTGATTAAAAAGTGCTCTTCCAAAGAAAATGTGTTCGTTTCCTTATACAGTTGATTCGTTGGAGTGTCATATGGAAGACGATACAATACTTTCAATGTCTTTTTATATAGAACAGAAATTTTGTTGAAACTATTTTTGGAACAAGATCCCCAAATATTTATGAGATAGTTAATTCTACTGAGTATATGTGAATAGAGAATGATATTTGATGTATATGTACTAAGTTTAGGACATCTTCTCAAAGCACCAATAATGGGAGATACTTTTCCTATGAGGATGTCTATATGCTTTCCCCATGTTAATTTCTCATCAATCCAAATACCAAGGTATTTGGTATGGGCAGTTTGTTTCAAACGTTCATTTTTTATTCTGATATTCAGATCAATATTTTGTTTATTTCTTTGACGAAAAATCATATATTGAGTCTTATTAGAATTGAGAGAAAGAAGATTGGAATAAAGCCATTTCTCAATTTTTTTCAAGTCCTCATTTATGATATGTTCAGATATTAATATTTCTTTGATTCTTTGGTCTCAAAGACCCTTACACAAGATCTGAATATAATTCATAACTCATTTGGACACTGTGACACATTATACACTGAACAATTTCTTGTCTACTATGAAATAACATTGAATACTAGAGGTGATAGTGATAAACCAAAACAGACAACAACTAACATTACCAACCGTTTGTCAGCGTTTGACATTTGAGGTTATTCTTCTACCAGTGTTTTGAAGTTTACAAAATAGTTGGGTTACTATGAACTTGGTAGGATTGAATTGAAGCTTGAGGCATTTTCAGTAACTGAAGCAATTATTGAATTTCATTCGGCAATTTGATAAATGAATGGGAATATTGTCGCCTGTGTTTCATTGGTTCTAGGAAAGTTTCAACACTGGTTTTCTCCCAGAGATGCCAATTTCATTCGGCATCTGTGTTAATCTTTAGAATAAATAATTTCATCTAATACTTTAATCAGTTCGTAGTATGGTTAAATATTTTTTCTCAAACCTAGTCGTCTACCGTGATATCTTTTCTATTTCAATTCTAGGCAAATTTTCGACCCAGAAATTTCAATGGCGCAATCAGACAGATGTATGGATTTTGTCATCGGATCTACTGCCAATCTCAATTTATCTGTCATCTACTGAGATATTTTTTCCATTATTTATATAACGCGAACTGAATAAGCAGTCTTTCGTACCGAAAAAATCACTCTTGCAATCAAAATCAAGCTATCCTCTCTTTGAATAATCAAGTTCATACTCTTCCCTGGGACCTGCTGCCAAATGTTTAAAATTTATCATAAAACCGTCATCCGATTTCATTTTCAATTTGGAGATTGAGACTAATATTCTGTTTATTTTCCTGATGGAATTGATAAAATGTTTGAATAAAGCCATTTTTCAAATTTTTTCAAATCTACGTTGATAGTACTTTCTAGAATTATGGGGTTTTTGTTTTCATATAAAAGTACAGTATCATCTGCATATATAGTATAATTACCTGACAATCCAATTTTAGAAATATTTTGAATATACAGGGTGTTTCATAATTGGATGTCAATATTCGAGTAGGCGATTCTCGAGCCCATTCTAAGAAGAAATTTTCATATGAAAGTATGACCTAAACGTCCTAACTTTTTAGATACAGGGTGGTAAAGTTCTCAAAAATTAATAAAGCCTATTACAGTGAAAAGTTATAATTCCAAAATACCAAATACGAATAGAAAGTTCATAAACTATGAATTGTATTACTGAAATTTGATCTAAAAAATAAAATCTATTTCTCTGCATTGTGATATTGTCATATTAACGATATTGCTATAATCATGTAGTGAAAAGCTTTTTATTTTTTCAAGCGAAAACCGTGCATCAGATTGAAAAAATTGTGGTGATCAAATTTGCTTAGAAATGATTGGGAATTTCAGGAATGATTTCAATTTCGAGATTAATCAGTGGAGTACCATCAATGTCTGCCAAAATAAGTATGTGAAATTCCATACGAACACCACTGGTGGCAACCAAAAAAAATGTGGCACACTAACTGATGCCTCTTGATGCATAGTACATGTATGCCAAAATTCATTAGAATATCTGAAGTGGTATTACAGATATTAATAAAAAACTGTTAATTTTCGAGAACTTTACCACCCTGTATCTCAAAAGTTAGGACGTTTAAGTCATACGTTCATATGAAACTTTCTTCTTAGAATGGGCCCAAGATACGCCTCCCCAAATATTGACATCCAATTATGAAACACCCTGTATAATAAATACACGATGGGCCCTAAAACCGATCCCTGTGGAACACCTTTACTTATTGAAAGTTTATTAGACTCTGACATATTACATTTAGTGCTGATTGTCCCATTCGCAAGATAAGATTCTAAAAGATTTTATAACAATGCCTCTAAGACCCATAGATTCCATTATAGGGATTCCCTTTCGTCCAAGCGATAAAAAAAAGTATTCTAAGAGATTCTTATGGTCAATTGTATCAAATGCCTTTTTGAGGTCAATGAAAATAGCTACAACGTAATTTCCCGTATCAAGTCCTTTCTGAATTTTTTGTACTACTTGTAGTACCACTATTTTCTTGGAAACCGAACTGATCATTATCAAAACTATATTTTTTGTTTATGAAATTTACAATACGCTTCTTCAATTTTTTTTCAAATATTTTCGGAAATATGCTCAATATAGCTATTGGTCTGTAATTTTCTGGATATTCAGCATCCCCACTTTTGAATATTGGTCTTAGTGAAGCATGTTTCAATTCATATGGAAAAATATTTAATACGAAATAATTGTCAACTAATTTTGTCAAGGGTACAGCCAGAATATTTTTCAATTCAAATATATCTTTTGTTGATAAACCTTCAGAGTCAGGACATGTTTTCTTCAGAGTATGAATTATTAGTTAAGGTATCAGAAATGCTTGGACGCTCATCCCCAAGGTTTGGGCGGCAGTACAACTAGCTTGCATACGCCGGGCAGCAGTATTGGGGCAGCTCTCAAGTCGTTCGTCGGGTCGCTCAGAGGTCGGAAAAGTAAAAGTACGGATTCCTGAGAATGGAAACAAACTCTGCAGGTGAGGATAATTTCATGTCATTTTTCCCCCACTCAGATTCACCAACTCATGAATATTTTTTGTTCTTGTATGAATTACCATATTTTCGTTCCATTTATCCATACATCATATATTCATCTGTATCACAGTTAAAAGAATACAAATATATTCTTTTAGTTGTGTCTGTATCATAGCGCGCATACCAGAAAAATAATTTCGATTATTCAGGGTGTCCTAAAAATGTGTCGCGTCTTGATGATACATTTTTTCAAATGGCATCCCACATATTGTGTTGCCCCTTTGAGTGGTTTTTGTGGTTACCCACATACTCCGGGAATTTTATTGAAATCGGTTCAGTGATATTCACGAGAAAAGATTTATAGGTACCTGAAAAAATCAATTTTGCACCACTGGTCAAAAGAATTAATAACAAGAAAGATTTTAGTGACAATGCATGATGAAATTTTTGTTGGACAAAAAAACAAAATGGCGGACGAGTTTTGTAATTATCATCCGATTCTATTCAGAATTTGGGTAAAACTGCATTTATCATGCGATAGGTTTTTTTCGAAAAAATTTTCTTGGTGCTGACGTATTTTTGTCTGAAAAACACGAATTTCATAATGAATATGTGAACAAACCATTATTTATTAAGATATTTGACTATAAAGTTACAAATTTCACCTTCTTTGTCGCCTGTCTTCTGGATGGCATTTAGAACAATTTTCCCTTATTTTTTCATTATATTGGGCAATTTATATATATCACAATGCATGACACATTTTTTTCTATTATATGATTCAACTATAAATATGAAAAGAAGGAAGAATATCATTTAAAATAATGGCGTGTGTAATGTCATTCCAAAGCAATCTATTGACATTTAACATCTCGTATTTTGATTGACTATTGATTAAATGGCCGTCATCTGGAATGCTTGTTCTCTAAATATGAAAAACTCGCCATAAAAATCATATTTCCTGTTGAATTTTCAATATAAAAATGTGTCATCGAAGTACATCATGAGTATATAAAGTGTCCAATGACAAAATAAGAAGAGCAAGAAAGTAGCTTTAAATGCTCCCAACACAAGAAGAGAAAGAAGGCGAAATTTCGAACTTTTTCTTGAAATATTTCGATAAATAGTGGTTTGTTCACATTTTCATTATCAAATTCGTGTTTTTCAGACAAAAATACGTTTAATACCAAACAAAATTTTCGAAAAACAGAAAACCATCGCATGATGAATGCAGAAAGGGGATGATATAATTATATACTATTATACAAAGTGTTTCAAATTTCGAAGTTTCATCGTTCTTTCAAACATTTCATGTGATTAAATCTATTTTTTCTTAGAAAGTTGAATATGCATTTCATCAATATTGAATACGAAATGGGATCTAATGTGATAAAAACATGTTTTGACTCGTTAGAATTCAAAAAACGATTTTTTCAAAATCCAATTTTGAATATATAAGCTATGATTTCTCGAAAAGTGTTACACTTTATATAATAGTAGATATGGTCAAATTTGTTCAAAATCACATAACCTACCGCACCTCCTTCCGTATATACGTCGGTGAACAAAACACCCTGTATTACAGCGTGATTCTTTGATTTTGTAAACTACTATTTATTAATACTTTCAAATGACAAATAGTGATGCAAAAGGAATTTGATAGTGTTGTATTTGGAAAAATGTTTGTTTTTCAAATACTCATCGAATTAAATGAAAATATATGGGGGCTCCAATGGATTTATATTACAAAAAACTTGTATTTCATAATTCGATAGAACTCACCCAAACTAGCTCACCACCGCAAACCGTTTCTTGCTGTGAGCTCCCTACGTTTTATAAAAAATTAGACCTCTGAAAACGAGGCGATGATGTGACGTCAAAACCCTAATACCGTTTACTGAAACAAGACTATTCCAGACAGAGATGAATGATACATGATTTTTGACCACAGAACTCATATTACTTAAAGTAATATGAGTTCTGTGTTTTTGACAGAGTGAATTAGCGCGAGATCACAGTTGAAAGACTTAATATATCAGTTGCCTCAGTCTCCGTCGGGCGTTTGGTATTTTCTTTTAACTATGGCGAGATGAGGTTTCTACGTCATAAGAGGGTCCGTTTTCAGAAGGTACTATTATTAATGTCCAGAAATAAAACATTCCAGTTAATTTTTCGATCGAATTATGTCGTCAATCATCATTTATGTATAAAAGGATCATTATAAATATGGTTTGAGTTAAAAGTTCTACCAAGGTGTACACGCCCATTAGAAACATGTTATTTCAGGACTATGAAATGGACCCTGCGGAGCGAGAAGTGATCAGACACAGGCACCTGCAATCACCCCTAACACCGAAGTATTTCGGTACTAGTCTAATGTCGCCGGCAGAGGCAAGCTCCCTCTCCCCTCCCGCTTCCCCCCAGCAGCGGGGAAAGGGGGGTCTGTCGCCGGTCGGGATCAACTGAGACCTTTATTTTTCATTCCGTTTCTTCTTATTCCTCGATGTTCGCGCAGCGTACAGGGTGGGCCGCCGGAAAGAGGCGATTCGGCAGGCATTTTTCGAGATGGGGTAATTAGAATTACTGGATGGTATCAATGGGGGAGACCACAGATTCTTCAAAATGACATCATCGTGAGCTCTATGCCGAAATGCTACCATTAAATATAATTTTGAATTGTTTCATTCATACTGGAACGATACAAAAAATAAATCAAAATATGTTCATTTTAAAACACACACTTCCTGTGCCATTTGATGTGCTGTCAGTTGAGTGCGCCGCGTTGCAGCCACATCTCGTTGGAGCCACATTTCGTTGCAGACACATCTCTTTGGAGCCACATTTCGTTGGGCCCACAGTCTCCGAACGTACCCGAAAGCTGCGCTGTTGCCACAAGGTTCCTTATTTTACTGAGAAAGATATTGAGGCTCTAACGATACATTGCGGTATACTTTCATCTCGTTCAAGCCACATTTCGTTGCACCCACATCTCGTTGGAGCCACATTTCGTTGAAGCCACATTTTGTTACAGCCACATCTCGTTGGAGCCACAGGTAAATAACCAATACCCTTAATTGGTGCAGAATCAAGTTAATAGAAAATTTCCGGCCAAGAGCTTCGCTCACGACCGATCCTGAAATAATATCATTATTGAAATAGCGAATCACTATCAGCCTCAATAACAGCACAGTAAATGCGTCCACAGTACTTTTTTCAGCGAGGAAGGAGAAAAAAGAAGACTACTTTTTTAAAACCATCTAACCTTACTCAGCCTGAATGTACCTTCTTCCTAAAAAGACAGTAGTTTTTTCAGGAAGGAAAATATCCCTCTGCGTAAAAAAGGACACTACTTTTTTAAACCAACTAACCTTACTCGGCCTAAATGAACCTTCTTCCTAAAAATTATATTTTTCGAAAAATCACTAGACAAAACAAAATAGAAAAATGCCGACCGTCTCAGGCATTGAACCCGGGTCGCCGAATCTGGGCCCAACGAGATGTGGCTGCAACGAGATGTAGCTTGAAAGAAACGTGGATTGATCAAGATGAGAGAGTCTCGTTAGGGCCACAATAACCTTTTCAGTATAATCGAGATTTTTGAATTATATGTGGCAACAGCGCATCGTTCGGGTACGTTCGGAGACTGTGGGCCTAACGAAATGTGGCTCCAACGAGATGTGGCTGCAACGAAATGTGGCCCCAACGAGATGTGGGTGCAAAGAGATGCTCCCCTGTCAATTCATTGGCTTGACTGTTGTGACATATTAGTCCCAATACGCCTATTGTCCTTGAGCTGACCAATCACGCTGCAGAATGGAAAGGTATCAGAAAGAGATAACTACAGTTCGGGACTAATACGTCACGGCTCCACCTTCATATCTGACTTTTTGAAATATCGATAGGAATGATATATAATAAATTGAATTGGATGGATTTCATTACTCAGTGGTCTTCCCCATTAGATGAGAGTTCAGGCACAGCTGAACTTCTGTCCTTTTCTATTTTCTACATTAAAATAATAGTGATATTCTTCCATTCTGAACTAACTGAATCAGTTGACATGCATTGTACAGGGTGATCAGTTAAGGGTAGCGAGCGGCCATATCTCATAAGATATTGGTCGTATAGATTTGAGAAAAAAAAAATCATGATAAAAGTCGCCAAGAGAAATTGCTGGAAATTATTTTCGAGTTTGTCGAACGTCCGGTAGAGGGCGTAACAACCAACACCAAGTACGAAAATGGGATTTTTATAGAATTTTGTCCAATGAAAGTATGTCGATGATATCATTTTCATATTTACTGACCATTTCCCTACATTTTTTGTCTAAAACGTTTTGTTCTAGCAATCAAAATAAAGCGGTGGAGGAAGTTCAATTGTTTTTTCAAACAAACCAAGATTTCTCCTGTTTTATTTCGACCGATTTAAGCAAGCTCAGGGTAATATGGAAGAGCATAATTTGCCCTACAAAACGCTTATTTGGTTTTGAATATTTGACTTTTGCTGTCCCCGCTAGATGGCGTTAACTGAAAATAATATGTTAGCAAATTTTTTAGTTTTTTTCAAAAAAATCAAATTTAATGGTATATAGAATTTCCCCATAATTTGATGAAAATAATTTATCATCTTCTTTCTTTTGAATCGTTGATATTGACCATAATATAATTTTATTACATCAAAAAATGGGACGCCACTGTTTTTTATCAAAATAAAAATCAGTTTTGTAATCTCTTATTAGTTGCTAACAAAAATAATCTCCTGACTTTTTTTCGTTAGACAAACGGTTTTGGATTGAAAAAATAAAATTCAATCGATTGTCAGTATGTCTCTTGAACACTTTTCATATTATACAGGGTGTTTCAAAATTCAGTATCAAGATTTTAGGGGCGTATTTTTCAGGTCAAAATAAGACGTTTTTGTCCATAAACATGTGTCCGCAAACGCTTCGTTACCGATCTACAGAGCGTTAAAGTTAAACAAATACACGATGAGACATCCACCAACTTTCAAATAATGTCAAATGCTTCAAAACAAACCTAAACGTCAAAATGAAAATAGCAGTCAAAGCCCACTAATTCGCTTTTTCATTGTTCAGTTGAAAATTTTAATTAAATGTAGCGAATCACAAAAATTGATTTTACTTTTTTCTCGATAACGATCGCAGATGCGTGAAAATTACAAGAGACAAAAAAATTTATAAACAAAACAAAGAATTCATTTTGTATCTCAGAATTCACCAGCGGCGCACCACAAAAAAGTTTATGGGGTAAAAAAGGGCTTGACCCCTGAAAAAAATATCTCCCTGTAGATTCTCACAATCACTCGGCATGCTGGATGATGTAAGCCCTAGAACGTGACCTACATTTCAAATTTGATCCTAATATCTCAAAAATTGAAAGAGCTATGAAGAAAAAAATTGAAAAATCTTGAAACTTTAACGCTCTGTAGATCGGTAACGAAGCGTTTGCGGACACATGTTTATGGACAAAAACGTCTTATTTTGACCTGAAAAATACGCCCCTAAAATCTTGATACTGAATTTTGAAACACCCTGTATAATGAATTATTTCTCTGGAGTCTGGACTTTCTGAAACTAAGTAAATAAAATACAAAATGAACTATTCGAGTTACTTATTTTAGAAATCTTTGTTTCAAACCTGGAAGGGAGGTTGATTAAACATTATGCCGGATAAATATTAGGGTTTGTTATATACGTTATGTGTTGAAAAAGTCGAACTTTCTTATACATATTTCTTCACAAAGAATCTATCCTTGGAATGTTTCTTCCTGTATATCACTCACTGTTTTGATTGATGGAAAATATGACATTTTGTGACTCTGATGCTTGAAAAATGCCTTCCAAATCGAATAATAGATCAGCCTGTACATTTTATATCCCAACAAATAATGTGATTCTCAGAAAAAAGTGGAATTGACTGCTTCAAGCTTACTTATCTGTATTGAATTACAGAATGTAATTCGGAATTTCAATTTTCAGTGTGAACATTTGACGTACTTTCAATCGGCCGTATCCAATACTAATCGTTTTTCAGAAAGTAACACTACTTGTTAGGATATACAGTGTGTCTCTTCAAATCCGACGACCTCTCATATCTTCTGTGTATAACAATTGAATATTTTGACGTCCCCTATTTAGAATGAAATCGCATAATTGATGAATAATCATCCAATATAATAGACAATAAGCTGTTGAACTAGTGTGAGTAGTTAATACACTCATACACATCTATTAGCTGTCTGAAAAAATATCCAGGGATTTCCTTTCGTGCGCTCCAAACGTTCTTCTACTAAAATGAGTTGATTAGGATGCTGTTTGGATTTGAAGCTGGACACTCTGTATGTAGGCCGGTTTGGTTTCTACGAGCATGTAGGTTAAGACATACGTAAATAAATATGAAATTGTTGATGAGCTTACAAATCGCGTTGTGGATGATTTTTTGAGTCCGCGACAAAGATATTTATACACCACTGAGTATTTTCATTTTTGATATTCACATTAGAATTGACCGATATCAAAATGATAATTCTACTGCCTTTTCTCTGTTGCGAAGTGCTAAGAAGTGATAACCAAGTAGTTATTAATACATTCACTTCCTTTCATTCCATGTGGTATCTTTAAAACCAAATAAAATAATATTTATTTATTCCGAGTCCTACATTTTTAGGGAGATTCATAATTGTTTTTCTTGGTTTCGATGGTACCTACCACATTTATGGATTTATTATGAATCTCTTGATATTATTTATCATATAAACTACTTACCAGATGAAGTGGGACAACTAAAAAATTTACTAATTTTGATGAGCTATAACTCTAACATTTCTTGGCCGATGTTGGATTTCCAATCAAAGGTAGAAAGCGTCATCCTATGCCTATGCGTCATTGGCGTCGGATTTTTGTTTTTGCGATTCGTTCTCTTTGTACTGAGTGTGAATTAAGAGCCCGAAAAATTTCAAATTTCTGACCAATAATTTGGGAATTGTGAGGGACCCTAGAATTATTTTTTAGATGTAGGGTGAATGGTTGGTCCGATACCTCGAGACATCTGAAATTTTTTTGATGAATTGCGTTGCTATGGAAAAATCGCCATTTTATGAAATGTCATTTTATTTTTCAAAATGTGGCCTCTTTTATTTAAACAATAACAGCCAACATCTGAACTTCAACAAGGGATATTTCTACTGAAGATAATTAACACCAGTGGCGCGCCAAAAAGGGGTTTTAGATATTTAAAAACAAAAAAAAAAACGTTTTCATCGAAAAAAAAAACAACAGATTCATTGATCGTTACAGTTAAAAAGTTGAGGTAATAAAATATACTGAGAAAATTTTTTTGGGAGGCAAAAACTGAAGATTTTTCGATTTTTTTTTTGACAAAATCATTCAATGGGCTTGAAAAACATCAGAAGCCAGAGTTACGTTCCTGAATTTTCATTCATAAATAATGATACAAGAAAATTTTCACTTTTGAATCGCCTTGTCCACATTTCAGAATCACCTTTCGTACGCCTCTGAATTTGTCATCATCAAACTAATTAAATGTATGGCAACTCTTTTACTGTAACGGTCAATAAATCTGTTGTTTTTATTTCAATAAAAACGTTTTTTTCGTTTCTAAATATCATAAGCCCGTTTTCTGCACGCCTCTGAACATCATGCTAATCAAGGGTATGACACCTCTTGAACTGTAACGATCAATAAAACTGTTGAATATTTTCAATAAAAACGAATTTTTCGTTTCTAAATATCATAAACCCCTTTTTTGCGCGCCACTGGTGTTAATTGTCTTCAATCGAAATATCCCTTGTTGCAGTTCAGATGTTGGTTGTTATCGTTTAAATAAAAGAGGCCACATTTTGAAAAAAAAAATGAAATTTCATAAAATGGCGATATTTCCATTGCAACGCAATTTATCAAAAAAAATTCAAAGACGTCTCGAGGTATCGGACCAACCATTCACCCTACATTTAAAAAATAATTCTAGGGTCCCTCACATTTCTCAAATTATTGGTCGAAAATTTGAAATTTTTCCGGCTCTTATTAATTCACACTCAGTACAAAGAGAACAAATCGCAAAAACAAAAATCCGACGCCAATGACGCATAGGCCATGGATGACGCTTTCTACTTTGGTTGGAAATCCAACATCGGCCAAGAAGAAGAAAATGTTAGAGTTATAGCTTATCAAGATTAGTCAATTATGTGGCTGTCCCACTTCATCTGGTAAGTAGTTTAGTTTATTATTTCCAATCTGCATAAAACAGGATTAAATCTGATATGGAGCTTTATTTATTTTTGATCATTATATGGATACAATCTATTTCTAGTCACTTTATGAATATCAAGTTTTGTTGATATGGTTGAAACTTGGCCCAATTATGATCTTTATTCTTAAACTTTTATTCCTGAGGAGACCTATTTTTGTTAGAACCGAAGATGATTAGAATTATGCAATATGGAATTCCTGAGGTAGTTCTAGTTGTAGCAGCATTTTTCATATCACCTGAGCTGGTAGGCTTTTGGTGTATGGTACTATTTTTTTAATAATAGATTTTATTTAATGCATTGAACATCTTACTACTTGATTTTATATTGTAGGTACCTATATATATTTATAACAGTTTGAACAATTGTCTTCACAAAGCAGTTAGAGTTGATGCTTTGATATTAGATCAAGAAAAGTTTGTAGGTACCCACTCTCTCAATTTTTCTATATCTTGTACTTGATGATTTTTTAATAATAATAAATATGTAGTATCTTGGTCAATGTCCAAATTCGATTACAGAGGTTCTTTGAGGAACATTTGTTATATCATTTGATAAGCTATATATGTGTAAGTCAAGTTCCTCTTCAACTTTTGACAACTTGAAGTAATTACACATCAACTGACTTGTAAATAAGTTTGGAAAGATATTGTGATTATTGAGAGAGTGCCTGAGACTACCTAAATATTTATAGGAGCCTTGCATTTTATGTCTCACCCAGTAAATGTGATTTTTGTTATTGAATAAAATGTAACAATTTCATATTTAAACATTTCTCAAGAGAGAAAAGATGTTAGAAATATGTGCACTAAGCTAATTGGTTTTTCTTGCTTGAAAATAAAAATGGACGATGTTAAAACGCTTCTTTGTTGACGGAGTTGAATTTTCCAAATGGAAAGCACCAGAAAATACTTGTGAACAAAAACTGAATGGTAATATTGTGTACATATTTTCAAAAATGCTAAGACTGCTTCAAAGTCCTTTATATCTGCTTAGTGAAAGGCAAACAAAATCAATAAAATAATTTTTTTATTAAATGTTTTATTTTCTCAACCTCAACTAATAATAATTCAGCTGTGTAGTCCACTGGGCACTGGGTTATTTTGGAAACCACAATATACAATAATATGACTACACTACAGACAGTATTTATTATGTATTTATGGTAAAAATGATTCAACTTAGAACTATTGATCAGTTATGATTGTTGGTGAATGGTAATCTGTGAAGGTGGTATTCTTGTGAAATTTTGAAAAACCATAAAACAAATTGAAGTCTGTTTTGTTTGGTTCAAGTTGAAGGGTTTAACTTCCTTCTTCTTCTTCTTTTCCGTTTGGGTGGGCTGGGCCTTAGATCCTTAGATCATACATCTAGATCTGAGGGCTGGGCCACAGCCGTCTTCATCTAACGCCATCTGTCCAAATGGTTCAATTCTTCTTCTTCTTTCTAATAACCACAATCTCTCGCTCAGCTTGCTCTTGTACTGAGTTCCGGACAGTTCATGGATCATGGCATTTTTTTTTAATTGTCATTTTTGTCAATAAAGTCAATCATTTTTGAAAATTTGAAGTGATTTGAATTTGATATGATATCTGAAATTATACGAAAATAATGTTTCACAAAGAACCAAAATATTATTGGTAGCACAGCACCATAACTATTTTACAAAATATCCCAACATGAAAATATTACCTTCATGGTGAAAATAATATATCAACTTTCATCTTTGGGTTTTTATTTATAAATATCATATCAACTTGTATTATATTTATATCTTTAGTCAATAGAACTAATCTGTTCTATCTTGTCTCCTATCAGTTAGACAGACAGTGAGTGGTATGCCGGCACGATAAAATTATCTTCTGTTCTCAATCTCAGCTAAACATGTCTGACATTAACAAAATATTCAAAGAGGCTGCTATCCAGATAGGATCTGGTGGTTCTGCAGGTATATGTACATACATATTGGTGCTTTTTTCATATTTTAAGTGTTTTCCTGTTCAAGGCTTTGTGGAAGTTTGCATTATGCACCCCCTAGACCTAATAAAAACAAGACTGCAAATTCAATCTAAAAGTCTCCATGAGAGTGACCCTAAGTATTACCATGGTATTGCTGACTGTATTAGAAAAATGTATAAACAGGAAGGACTTTTCTCTTTCTGGAAAGGAATAGTACCTCCAATTTTAGCAGAAACTCCCAAAAGGGCTGTGAAAGTATGGCTTATTGAGGATAATGAATGTTTGTCTTAATTACTATTAATTTTCATTCTAGTTTTTTACTTTTGAACAGTACAAAGCATTTTTCATGTTTGGATCACCTACCCCTACACCTTTGGTAAATATATAATTTTCACAAAATATAATTGAATGAATTGAATTTATATAGGCCAATTTTTCAGACATTTTCTCTAGCTGGTCTAGGTGCAGGAGTAACAGAAGCAATTCTTGTGAACCCCTTTGAAGTTGTCAAAGTTTCCCTTCAATCTAATAAGGCCCGTGCCAGTGAAACACCCAGTACATGGGCAGTGACTAGACAAATTGTGGCTGAAAATGGAATTGGCCTTAATGGCTTGAATAAAGGGGTAACTGCCACTATTGCCAGAAATGGTGTTTTTAATATGGTTTATTTTGGGTTCTATCATTCTGTTAAAGGATTCTTGCCACAGTATGAGGTTAGTACAAATATAGCAAAACTTCAATTCCAATGAATGTAATATGAACAGTAAATATTCTCTGCCTCTTACAATTGGAGGATAACTCCTGATTGAATAAATTATGTCCTATATTTTTGGAAAAATATTTTTGTTGTAGAACCCATATCAAGAATTCTTTAGGAAGGTTGGAATTGGTTTTGTATCTGGAAGTTTGGCTTCATGCATAAACATACCATTTGATGTTGCAAAATCAAGAATTCAGGGACCACAACCTGTACCTGGGGAAATCAAGTACAAATCCACCATAAAGTCCATGGTTATTGTGTATCAAGAAGAAGGGTGAGTACAATTTTTTTATATTGCAAATAAACAGTACTTTCAAATCCATGAAAGTGCTGATTTCAGATTTAATGGATAATGTATTTTTTCCATTTTCTAACATGGGAACTCCAATATATTGTAAAGAATAGTGTATCATTTCTTCAGTATAGTATCCTGATACCATTCAAACATTCACTTCATCAGAATAACACCTGTTATTTATTTGTTTGTCTCACTTGAACATGTGAAAGACTGCTGCTATCCTACCAGCTGTCAGCTAAATCATTTTGAGTTTCTAGGAATTAAACTGCAACTTTAGCTACTTGGCACTAAAAGTATTACCTAATAGCAACATATCTCTTATTGTGTCAGTGTGCTAGGTCGACATAAAGCTAGCAGAGCCATTGGGTTTTTCTGTGAAATGGAAGGTAAAAAATTCGGGAATATGGTAGGAAATTAGAATTAAATTAGTGTAACAAATTATATCACTATTGTTAATCTGAAATATTGAAGTGGTTCTGCTAGGTTTATTGGGGTATGTTATGAAATTTATGTTTCTTTCTAACTAGTATACAGGGTGATTCACATAAGAACCGACATAGAGCAGGGGCATGTAGGGGGTCCCAAAAATGGTAATTTAACGCAACTTACCTCTATACCAAGTTGCTTCCCTAAGGAGTTATAGGCTTTGAAAGTGAAGTAATAAATTTTGAAAAAAACTAATATCTCCGTTATTCTTGAACTTAAAGCAACCAAATTTGGTTGCTTTAAGTTCAAGAATAACGGAGATATTAGTTTTTTTCAAAATTTATTACTTCACTTTCAAAGCCTATAACTCCTTAGGGAAGCAACTTGGTATAGAGGTAAGTTGCGTTAAATTGCCATATTTTGGGATCCCCTACATGCTCCTGCTCTATGTCGGTTCTTATGTGAATCACCCTGTATAGTATGGTTATTTGATTAATTAAAATTTTTAAAATATAGGTATTATAAAAAAATCAATCCAGTAACTATAACCTTGTGAAAATTGAGATATCTTCCACACTGAAAGTCTGAAAGACACCAATAGTTACTAGGCTAGTTGTGTATTTCAAGTCAGGGAAAATTATTTCTATCTAGTAAAGTACCAACATTGGTGAAAGGGATATTGTGGGGTAAAGAGGATCATAGTGTAGTTTCATGTGAGCATGCAGGTTTCTGTAAACAACTTGCGTTCATTGATCAAACTGAGGAGGTATCATCATTACCGACAAATAGCTTACTAATATAACCTAGTCAGACCTAGTCAACAAGTCTGTAGTAAGTTTACCCCACTGGTGGGTTGAAAAAAATGTTGAATTTGTATTCAGAATTTGGTCTGTTTTTGAAAGTTTGACAAAACCTACATGGGATTCATCCATATTAAACCAATGAACTCAATATTTGAGTTCATTGTATAAAACATACCAAACAAAACAACATGAAACTAACAAACAATAAGTATGTTGTCAATCATTTGAGCCGAATCTAAAATTTTTAGGTTATATTCCCAAAAAGTTATGAGGAAAAAAGGAATGAGTTCACTTGTTATTAGAGGGTGAAGCGGCTCACATGTAAAGTGAACAAAATATGCCGTAGTTTATAAAAAATTTAAAAAAAGGTTGTGCCAGAAGGCAATTGCAATTATAATTTGGAATATTCTAAGAGAGCTGTGAAAGCTGTCAAGAGGAGTCGGCTGAGTATAAAGAGAGGGCGTCCGAATAGTTCCCAGTCAAGGTTGGTAGAACTAATGATAATAATAATAATACAAAAAAATCATCAGTTCTACCAACCGTGTTCCCAGTCCCGTTCACACTTCTGTTCCTGTTTTTTTGTTGATAATTAATTCATTATTTTTCAAAATGAATTTTCTTGATCCTCTTCACCCCAAAATGAAGCGGATCACAGTTTAGAATTAAAAAAAAAATCGTTCATGATAGTTGCATTCTTTATTTTTTCACTAAGCTCTAGAGGAAGGATATAAATCATATATAATTTTTTCACACTGTCAAGGAATCTACTTTGTTTGCAATGCTGAAAAAAACTCAGATTTTGATCTGTTTCACACCACAGTTGACGGTACTCTCATAAGTAAAACGAATTATAGTCACATCCAGAGATAAGTTACCAGACTGGTCACATCAAACCCCACATCAAACCCATAAATAATTTTGAATATAAATCATTTGACTTCAAATAGAGAAAAAAATAGATCAGAACATTTTTGGATAGCCTATTTCTCGCCTATATGAGTCCATTAGAGAAAAGGATTCAACATTCGATTGAACAACACTTGCAAAAGTCCAATATCTCTGAAAGTTGATTATATCCATATATATGATTCATGGAGATCACTTGATAAATACCTTACTCTGATCATACTTTTTTGACAATGTTATGATTTTTCAGATTTAGGGCTCTTTATAAAGGCCTCCTTCCAAAAGTTCTTCGGTTGGGACCAGGTGGCGCTATTATGCTAGTCGTGTATGAATACATGCACAATTTTTTGACTCGAGAATATGCCTAAATTAATTGTTGAATTTTGCATATAGTAATAATACTTATATGAAATAGTTATTTTAATATTGTTTACTAACCGTTTTTGTCTAGATATTTTAAAACCCATCATTGTTAAGTTTTAAAATGTTTATGAAATGTATGAGAAGTAAAAAGCAATTATTGGTATAAAATGATATCAAAAGAATTTATTTTTACATTTTCAAAAAATGAACACAATTATTGTGATGGGATTGAAGTGTATTCTAATAAAACCATTGTATTGCAACTGTCGTTTTCCTTTACAATTGAACATTTTGCTTTTCAATGTGACTGTGTAAGCTCACAAGTTCAGTCTTCAGTCTGTCGAAAATTTCAGTTAGACTGAAAATAATAATTTGGATATAGGTAACTAGAAAAAGGTATATAGGTATTGACTCACTTTTCTTGGTATGAATCTCTTCCATTGTCATTATCAAATTCAGTCGATGTTTCTGCAGTGTTCTTCATAATATCCACTTGTATACCTACAGATTTATTATCCTGTAACGCAAAAAACTACATGTTTAGAATTCTTCTCCAGAGTTTTCATACATTTGTTCAAATAGTGTTTGAAAAGTCCGAACTTGATAGCTATAATAGTTGGCATAAAATATTTTTCATTTTATAAAAAAAAAGTAGAGCATCAACATCAGGTGTGTTATTTTGGGATGGTGAAATAAATAGATGCAGTTGTCAAGTTGAAAAATAATATATTGCTTTAAACATCTATCAAGCATTATACAGTTGGATAACAGTACAATAATCACATCAAGTAACAAACCTATGACATAACACTTAAAATGAACGAAATACAGACTTTTTCAGTCATTACTCAACAATATAAACGTTTACCGCAGTGATGAAGCAATTGTCATTAAATAAGCACAATAAATAATTTACTATAACAAATCTATTTTTTTAAGTTTATCACAAAAGAATCTAAGAAATATTTCCATTCGATGATTTTTATGTTACTATGGTCGATGGTTTATAAATGTTTACCCAAGATCTTTTTTGGCCGTGCTCCTTAGACAAAATTTTCGCATTTGGCGAGAAACTCTCATCCACCTTATGAGTTTCCGCTACATGCTCGCCGAAATTTTTGGGCTCCGGGACTTCGTAAGTATACTCGTCGCTATATGATTCCGGAACGTATTCTTGTTGTTGTTCAAATTCGCTGATTTCCTTTTCAACTCCTCTCTTCGTCTTGTTTTTGGTTTTGAGTTGTTTCTCTGAAGCGCTGTACTCGTGATCGAAGGGCACAGTCACTGGTTTGTCGGATTTGTAAAGTTCCTGTAGACCTCCAATCTGCCAGATCCCGGAATACAATGGTTGGATGACTGACTTCTCAGCGGCTTCGTGGTTCTCTTTATCTTGGAAATTGTTGTTTGGATGATCGGGTTTCCGGGTTCGTTTGGTCGTGTGTTTCGCTGCTTCTGGGGCTAGGTTTCTCATGAAATTCTGTCTGATTTTTTTGTAAGGTTCCTCAATATCGAACTTAAGTGCTTCCTTTGTATGTACGCAGTCTTTCGATTCTGCTGGCTTCCTTAGTTCCGACGGAACTTTCTTGTGTTTGTATTTGTCAAAACTCGTGTAAGTTTCACCTTCTTCACTTGTTTGTTTGTTTGGAGATGTCGCCTTGAAATTCTTATGAAACTCATCGTTTTCTCGTTGTTGGGTTTTTACAGCTCTCGAAGCAGTTTCACTATTTCTTTGAGATTCTTCATCGGTAGTATCAGGTTTGTTGGTATCGAAAAAACTTTCAAATCTTGTTCCTGCGCCTAATTTAGGAAACACTTTGTCAAAATTATTTTCGTGTTGTTCCTGTAGCTCTCTTATCTTCTTATTTTCAGCATCTTCATTATCTTTATTACTTTCTTCGTTTGTTGGTTCATCTTCAGAAGCTTGTGCAGATTGGTTGGATCTTCCATCGCCCTCGGCTTCAATTTCCTGTCTTATTTTGTCATAATCCGGAGCTTTATAGTCCCCGAAATGAGTTTCTATGAAACTATCTATGTCTTGAACATTGTAATTTTGATCTCGTTCCTGTTCGTACTCTTCTGGAGATTCAGTCTCTATTTCCTCACCTTTTACTTCTTCATCTTGGTTTCCTGATTTCACTTTTTCATTTTCTTCTTCATCTTCCACTTCTTCATTCTGATCAACTTCTTTGGCTTCTTCATGTTGATTTTCAGCTTCCACTTCTTCAGTTCCCTCTTCATCTTTCACTTCTTCTTTTTCTTGTTCATCTCCTAAGTGTTCTACCTCGAAATTTTCACTTGCGTTATTTTCTACAATCTTTGATCCATTATCTTCGTCATTAACGTCCTCTGTTTCTTCTTTGGTTTGTTCCGACTCTTTCTCTTGCTCAACTTCTGTCTCCACCTCGGATTCAATTTCCTTGTCATTAGTGTCTTCCTCATTATCTGCAACTGCTTTAGCTAGTAGTTGTTGACTCCTGATCTGTTCATTTTGCTTTAAAAAATCCTCCGCTGTCGCTTGTGGATTTTTGTATAAATCTAATGGACTCCTTTGAATATTGTACTCCACAGGAACTGGCTGGCTTTGATGAGTGTAATCTTGTAGATAGGGTGTTGAAGGAATCCTATCTGCTAGTTGCTGCTCTTGGTTGGCTTGATTTTCTTTGATACGGGCATCCTTCTGAAATTTTTGGTTATAGAAATTGAGTAGCTCAGCATTTACGTACTTCGAAGTCAGATAGGAAGGCTCTGCTTTATGGTTGACCAAGTAATCCACAGCTTTCAGAGGAGCCGTCTGAAAATAAGTTACTTCCGTAGAAGGAGCGAACAAACTGTCTTGCATAGGTTGTTGGTACAGACTACGTGGCTTATTCTCCTTCGGAATGAGCAGCTCCTCATACTTCGACAGTTCTTCTGGTACATTGTTAGGCGAATTGCTGTCCAGAAGAGTCGCCTCTTTCTGCGGAACCAAGTACTTGTAACCGTTTTCCACGGTCCATGGGGTCTTGTCCCAGAACTGTTCGAATTCCTTCTTGAATTTCGCTTTGGACTCTTGTCGCTCGTCTGCAGGTTGGCCCAAGTTGTAATCATCAGGTATATCGATGTAGAACCGCTTAGGACGGTCATCTTCCTCCTCCTCAGCGTTTCTGTCATCGTCCTCATAATCTCTGTTTCTGATTTGCTTTGGTGGTGGAAGAATTCTTGGCGGTGGTGGGGGAAGAGCCTGTGGAGGTGCTGCTGCAGGAGGTGCAGCCTGAGGTGCCGGAGCTGGAGCTGGAGCTTGTGCAGCGCCTGCAGGCGAGACCACTACAGCGGAAATAACCGGATCTTGAGATGGGGGTGTTCTGTTCCTGTCCCAGTTGAGGTTGATGCTGAACTGTCTTCGAACACTGTCTGTGAGTACGGGTGGCAGCTGCTGAGAAGCAGCTGGTGGCGCAGCTGGAGGTGCAGCTGGCGGGGCAGCAGGCGGGGCAGCTGGTGGTGCAGCAGGTGCAGCTGACGGGGCAGCAGGTGCAGCTGGCGGTGCTGCAGCTGGAGGTGCAGCTGGCGGGGAAGCAGGGGCAGGAGATGCCCCAGGTATGGTGATCACGATTCTCGGCCTTTTGAACACATCGTACCCGAAGATGTCTCCGACAGTCGTTAGGAAACCTTGAATTTGTCGCCTGTCTCTGGCTTGTTGGGGATTTTGCGCTGTCACAATCACTGCCAATACCAAAACACACAGTAAATTAGTTTGTTGCATCTTGCATGTCCTAGTGGACTTGATCCTTCGGATGCATAAATTATACTGAGCTTTAGTTAGGGAATGATTTCACTTGTTACAATCGGTTATTTGTCAGAGAAAGGAGGGTTTTTTGCTGGTGGACGGTATTGTAGCAAGAATATTGCGTTTTTCTCGAAAGTGACCAATTACGCAAAGCTATTATTTGATTGAGTGGATGTTTATGCACCGATGGGCAGACCGGTTGGATATTTCGTTAGTATTGTTTATTTGACTAATAGGTCATATTGTGTTATTAATAAATACTATGGTAAACCGCTATATTAGTGTAACTTTAATATTGGACTATTGAATTTGAATGATGTACTGTGGGGGGGGCTTATTTAATCGGGCCAGTTGGCTCAGTCAAATTGATAGCCCAATAATAGATTCAATGGCATCAAAAACTATAACCAACGTTGAAGTAATTAATAATGATTTAAGTCTAAAATAACTTCATGTGAAATGTTTGTACAATGAAAAAATATTCTACTTTTGTACACGTTTATCTACAAACCTATTCAACTATGATACAACACGATAATCTCAGTGTTAGGTGGTATTTGGTTTGGAATCGTATTTCTCAACGAAATAAATGAATTGAATGAACGTCTCTGTATTCAGCAATACCTATATGAAAATGAAATGGTTACCACCGGCATGCTATGAACTTTCTTTTCATTGATATAAGTGTGTGGAAAAATAATGCATATCACGTACCAAATGTTCTAAGTAATGTCGGTCATACCTATCCGTACACTGACTGTTCGAATGTGCATGCATAGATTCTTATGATAAGCAGAAATTAGTTATTTGTGCAACTATAGTGCATAAGTGTATCTTTGTTTTAAGATGGATACTGAATACAACAAATATTCTTTTTACACATGTTCAACACAACATTTTTATTATCGAATTAAATTCATTTTCATTCCAAATTTTATTGAAAAGTACTTCACACAAATAATACTTTGAAAAACGCACGGCAGAGACTGATATGATTCAAATTTGGGAGGACCTACCAACATGACATTAGGTCCCTTTTATTTTGAGTAAAGGCTATCTTTGCCAAGAGTTTTTTGTGTCCGCGGCGGAAATGCTCGCTACTGACCCTTTCGTTCAACTTGTGACTTCGCATTGAGTTTCGTTTTTTTGTTATTTGATTTGGATATTAATTTTCCATAAAATCATGTTACGCTATAAAATGGTGTTTCTCGAGTAACAGTAACAGATAATGGAGTGAATCCAAAAAAGAAATGTTGAAAAAACATGATAAGACTAAAGTGTGATTTCAATTCTTACTCGATAGTGTAACTATTACACTCTACAGGGTATTACGAATTTCATGAAAAAAAAAGAAGCTGTAATTGCTACACCCGGTATGTATAAAAAAGAGGTTTTTATTCGAATACATCAAAATCAAAAACGTCCAAATCGGACAACCACTTCTGACGAAAATGTTTCCTAAATATTTGGCTACTTTTTGGTGGTGCATTCAATTCCTTGGAGAAAGAGTATTTCAAGAATTAGTTATTTCTTGTATTGTGAAATACTCTTCAATAAAATTTAAAATGAAGATAAATTCATTTCGATCGTAGAAAACATGTTGTGTACAGGTTTGCTCCATATCAGTTTTGTTTCAGGGTTGGAATATAAAGTCATGATTTTTATAAAAAATTAATAAAAGTACGACCTTTCGAATTAATTCGGACCTTTTTTGAAATAATTCAGTTAAGAAACAAATTTTATTTACGTAAACAAAATGAAAAAGTGCACCAAGAAAACTGACCTCTTATGTTTTCTTCAAAAATCCAGAAGCATAACATGAAAAAGGCAATTTTTGCAAAACAAACTGGAACTATTGATTGAAAAAAATAAATAAATGCCTGTGAGCAACTTATTATAACTTATTCAGAATTCAAAATCCAGTCTTTTCCTTGAGATTTTCGAATATTTTTCAACAGTAATAAATCATGATGTTCTGAATATTCGCTTCATTGTCCACGAAATTTTGTGTACGGCGACACCAATGGATGACAGAATTATGAGAATATATTCAGAATAGAGTGGTATTTTGCTAGACTATTTCACGAAGCTTAAGACGCATTCATTATAAACGAACAAAAGCCATACAACCAAAGCGATCTACAGCTATGATTATTTTATGTCAAACTGGCACACTTTTCTTCGCTATCCATGGTTACATCGTTGAAAACACCTACTCTAATAGACCAATCAGAATCGAAAGGCTAGTTTTTTCGCGATAATACAAATTGTCTTTGGCATGCGATTTGTCAAATTACCGATGTGAGAATTTTAAAATGAGTGAAATACCTGATCAATGTAATTTTATTTTGTTCCGGTTTGTGAAGTTTCAAAATAAGACTTTCAACCGTTGTCAGTGGTCATATCACGAATCTAAGCTCTAATTTTTTTCCTACATTGCGTTAATGTGAATAGGTGTACATTATATGAATGGTAATGACCGTTTATAGAAATCGAAAACTGCGGTTGACATTGTATTGTTTATGTGGTTATGCAACTCAAGATAGCGTGTGATCGATTTTTGGTAAGGTGGGCTGAATTTTTATGAGTTAAGTATATCATTCTAGGTAGCACTCATCCATCCTTATTGGGCCATATCCGATGATGAAGTAATATGAGCATAATATAATTCTTCAAGTTTGGAAAAGTACCACTCATGCTGAATTCTTATAAGTTTTAAAATATCTGATGAGAATATCCCTTTTCGATACATTAATATTGCAGATTCCTAAAATCATTGCAAAATTTTTAAATTATTCGAGGCAACAACAAATTTCCTAGTGCGGTTTTTCTCGTAGGTAATGTTTTCCTCAATATTTACCTAGCTCTATACAGGGTGGGCCACCAGTAACGCCTCGGTCTCTAGAAGGCTAACCACTTGTCTTCTTGGAATTCTTCCTCTCTAGGAAGTTGCATGTCAACAAAGGCTACCATTTAAGATTATTTCTAAACATACAGGGTGTCCCCAAAAACCATAAAACACTGAAGTTAAACTTTTTTCTATCGAACACCCTATATATTATTTCATTTTGAGATTCTCCCTGATGAGCTGATTTCAACGACCCATCATACTTGGGGTCTAGCAGTTATAATTACTGAAATATAGGGTGTGAAAAATCGAGATTTTCCAAGTTCAAGAATTTTTTGTGTCGAAACAATTCATAATTGGTCAAAACGGCTTACATGTCCCTATCTCAACTTTTGATTAACTATCTACTGATATTTAATTGGGACATATACCGGGTGATCAAGATTATGAATTCTGCACCACCCTGTATTTGTGGTCAATTAAATGTCAGTAGATAGTTGATCAAAAGTTGAGATAGGGACATGTGAGCCGTTTTGACCAATTATGAATGGTTTAGACACAAAAAATTCTTGAACTTAGAAAATCTCGATTTCTCACACCCTATATCTCAGTAATTATAACTGCTAGACCCCAAGTATGATGGATTGTTGAAATCAGCTCACCAGGGAGAATCTCAAAATGAAATAATATATATAGGGTGTTCGATTGAAGAAAGTTCAACTTCAGTGTTTTGTGATTTTTGGGGACATCCTGGATGTTTCAAAATAATTTCAAATGGTAGCCTATGTTGACATGCAACTTCCTAGAGAGGAAGAATTCCAAGAAGATAAGTGGTCAGCCTTCTAGAGACCGAGGCGTTACTGGTGGCCCACCCTGTATAGTTTATCAAAAACTTGAATCTTCACTGTGCCCAACATAAGCTTGTCAGGAGTAACTGCATTTGAAAGTTTTGATAAGAAGTACGTTCGGAATATGAAGAACCATATGATATCATTGGAATTCAAAAAGGATATTATTGTTATTTGTTTTATAATAGTGATGAAGATACTGATCATTTGGATTGCGAAGATTTTATATATATTATCCTTGCCAAATGATGCATGCTGAAGCCAATTTATTTTACCTCCCACGGGAGTTAATATTTCTTTCCTCCCGTAGGAGTTAATTGATAACTTTGTTTCCTAAGATGAGGGAGCAAACGCCTACTTTCGATTCAGTGAGTAGATGAAAACTGTAATGCTCATTTTGCGGAGCAACAAAAATCCTCGTAGATCGTGATAATTGCATAATAAGTGGGCCGTGGAAAAACTATATGGCTAACGTATAGAACACAGCGACAAGAAACAACTTTCGCTAATGCAGATTTCGATTTTTGTCGGTTGAAGATCAATTTCGAAGGCTTGATGGGTTTTGACCATTTTTCCTTTTTTCTCTCTATCGAGAGAATGTTCATTATTTTGATTTGTGCTTCGAAGTCCCATCCAGAAAAACTTAACGAATCAACCCAATCAAAGCAGAAGTCCAATGAATGTCGTCAGTTTGACAATCATAGCGAAATTAATTTTTCCTGTGAAATGTTAAAAAGTTTCATTCATGTTTCCTTTTTTCGAAGTCTGAGACAAAAAACTGAATTTAGAGAGCAAGGGAATGTTCACTATTTTGGTTGGTGCTTCTAAGACCCATCCAGGAAAACTTTGCGAATCACACATATCAAATCAAAAGTACAATGAAAGTCGTCAGTTTGAGATCATATAACAAAAAAAAAACAATCATAGCAAAATAAAGCTTTCTTGAGAAAATGTATGAGGTTCAATTCATTTATTCTTTTTCCGGAGTCTGGTGATAACACTGAACAAAAAACTGAATCCAAAATTGATAAATTGAATTTCTCTTCAATCATTCTGAAAATAATTGATAATAATTTAGGATATAATAAAAACAAGTTAATTTCACAATATTTTATTGCTTTCGATGAAAAGAATGTGTATGCTATAATTGCTCAACTTTTCGTTCTGCTTGAATTCTGTAAATGAAAAAATAAATCAAATATTGACACAATCATTTAACATGGTTAAAACCTACACCTATAAAAATTTCAAGTGTGAAATTGACCTTTTCTTGACAGGAACACTCGATGCAAAACGAAAAGGATGATGGTTGCATATTTCGTCATTCCTTTTTTTCTGAAATAATATGTCAAGGGTGATTGGGCCACAATTGAAAGCTTGAGTAATGTTCAAAATATGATTCGATTTCATAAATGATTTCACGAGAAAGAAAAACGCCTATGGGATAGCTTAGATGTCAACAAACAAGTGAAAGTGTGCAAATTTGCTAAAATTTACAAAATTTTCCAATAAATGCAGCGGAAGCTTATTAAAATTCCACGTTAGAAGTGCAATTAGGCAAACGAATTGCATCCAGAATTGGCAAGTACTTTCTTCGTCAATGACATTGCTATTCTATTAATATTTAAACGCAATCTATTTAATATACAAAACTCGTAGGCCAAACCGGGCCGATATAAAAACAAAAAGAAAGTGCCCATTTCGTTTATTTGTCAGTGATAAACTTGATAGTGATGGTGTCAGTTTAATTTTTTTCACCGAGGATTTGTTATCAATTGTTCAAAAAAATGGAGAGATATTTGGTAAGTATAATACTCGAAACCTATAACAATAATCAAGTGCAAATCAGATTTTACACTAAAAATATACAAATTTAAAAAGTAAAGAAGTAAACATAGTATCAGAAGCTTTCCTAAACGGATAAAGTCATATTCAGTTTCGAACCATAATGAGTAGTCTAGAAATAATTCACAGGTAATTTCTCCTTCCCATCTGAAAATAGATATTGTTTTTTTCAGATCACCGCAACCATCTTATCTGTTTTATCGACATCAGTCCTCAGCGATCCCGATTTGCAGCAACTAAACTCACATCAAGATGACTTGAACCCCCTAAACGAAGAGACCAATTTAACCACAAAAGCCCAAGAAAAGAGAACCATCTTCAACCCCACAATCAAAAACTACGGATGGGCCAAACACGTCTCCATTAGACCCTCAGGAACCAAGTACCTACTAGGCTACAGCCCAGTCGACTTGAAATACAGACCGGTATTACGGCCCATATCCATCAGTCATCAAGGTTACCACTACAATAGACCAAAGATCCACTTTCAGCTGAAGAAACCTATAGTTCACATACCACAGGTCAAACCAGTGTTGCAAACCGGATGGAAGCCGGTACTGAGGCCGGCAGTACCGATACACGTACCTCCGCCGTCTCATCTCCTCACGAAGCCTGCTAGACCCGTACTACACGTAGATCACGTAGACGAAGTGAAACCTGCACACGTAGATCATTTACACTTAGATCCAGTACCACATTTGGACCATTTACAAGCCCAGAAAGTACCAGTAGTGCATGTGGATCATATTCATCAATCACCATTACAACACGTAGATTATCTCCACAAACTGCCTAATTTACAGCATCTACATCAAGTACCAGTAGCTCATGTGGACCACGTTCACCAACAAGTGCCTTTGCAAGTTCAACCAGTACCACTAGTACCAATTCCAGCAGCTCCAGTACCGCAGCCACCTCACATCATACATCAAGCACATTTTGTGCCTTCAGCACAGCTGTTTGAAGTCACCAAGCCCGATTTAGGAGTACTACCCTTGGGTGCAGTATTCCAATCTCAAGTACTGAGGGACGTACCAGCACCCCAGTTCAAACCAGCTTTGGTTCACCAGCACTTGGTTTCCGCTGCTCCGGTACACCATGTTCACCCAGTAGTACCCGCTGCTCAACTTCAACAAGTTCATCCTTTTACTCATTTACATCCAGTACCTTCGGCACAACCTGTTACACATCTTCACCCAGTAGCACCTCAACCTGTGGCACCAGCTCCGCAAGCAATCAATCAAGTGGAATACCATGGCACCACTAACTTCATCAATTTGCTGAGAAGTCAGGCGCCTGTAAATGCAGTACATAATTTGTTGCCGAATCACTATCACTTGCAGTACCCTCAGATTCCACAAGAGCAATTGGTACCTAATCTACAGTTTCCTAGACCTAGTGTTTTCCAACAACATTTACCACACGAAGAGCCTGTACAAGTGGTACATTCTGGAACAACTGGTTTGTTTCCCAATCAGCAGCAATTGCCTCTAGATACTCAGCCTCATTTTCAATTGTCTCAGAACCATCCAGTACAAGTAGCACACTCTGGTTCTGGTATATTTCCTAATCAGCAACAGTTGCCTCTAGATTCACAATCCCATTTCCAAGATGCAGGACAAAATGTGTTTCTACAACAATTGCCACAAACTCAGACTCATTTTCAACAACACCACTTACAGTCTGAGAATGATGTTCAACATGTTTATCCACAAGACAATTTCCAATATCAAGTGTCCCAAAACAACCCTGAACAGCAATTCCATCAAGGCAATTTTCAACAGCCATTGCACCAAGGCAATTTCCAGGAGGTGAGTAACTTTCAACAAGAAGGGAATTCACAACAAGAAGGCAATGTTGGACAAGAAGGCAATTCGAATGCAGGGCAATTTCAACCTGCAGATCAAGTCAGCAGCGTACACTTCTACAGGCCAGGGCAATTTCAAATAGGGGATCAGAATGACGAGCAGAGGTATTTTTATCCCCAACCTGATGATGTACAAGAAAATGGGGAGCAGGGACGATCTATTCGACCTGGTGAGACTGACTTGCAATTTCCTTTGCACCTACCTCACCATCCTGGGTTTGCTGGTACTGGAAGGCAATTCAAACAGGATGAATCTGGGGAAGATTCTCAGAGGAATGATAGTGAGTTCCGCCCTTCCATACAGCTGGAGCCACCTTACAAAAAGAAGTAGAATAGTGATGATATTTGTTATTGTTTTCTAGTTTTATGTATATATTGTGTATATATTTCTTGTTGAGATTATTTCATAGTATTTATTATTAGATGAAATATTTGTTGAATAACTTAGAATGGTGTATGTTTCATTTCACCTACTCAATGTTAAGACATTTGCCATACAACTTCTGCCATGTATTGTAGGTGTATGTGAACGAAAATTTTGCAGAATTTTAAGTTTATTCCCTTTAGTAAACCAGGCACCTTCACCAAAATTTAACATCTTTCCACATTTATGGAATTTAAAAATGTCCAATTGGAAAATAATTTCATAGAAAATCGCAATTTGACCGTCACCTTTTGAAAATACGTCTGCGAAATTAAGTATTTGATGATGGAAGAACAATTTTTATTTTCAATACTGAAATCCTGTATCTGAACAGAGGGAGTATTCAGTATACGACTGGCAAATTCTCATTCATTAATATGTTCTAATTGGGTTTAAATAACTTGATATTCACCTTGCACTACAATGCATTAACTATTCAATGTTGTAGGTAATATCTAGCCTATTGAAATTAAATTAATTCTGATATTGTGCTGAATTTCGATAGATTTTTACACCTTGCAAAATTAATGATTAGATTTACTGTTAAAAATCGGGTGTTATACAGGGTGACCCAGGGTTAAACCGCCAAACGTTAAGGGTCGGTTATTTGGGCAAAAATAAGACTTTCTTTCCAATGAACATATGTCCTAACTTGCTTTGTTTTCGATATACAAGGTGTCAAAAATTTCAGACAAAATCGGTTCTTCATTAATTACGGCTTGAACTTACGGCAGATTTCGATGAAACTTGGTATGCTTATTTGCGGTGAAACAGAGCTCCATTTGATGTAATTCGAACCAATTTTTTCTGGAAACTTTGACACCTTGTATATCGAAAACAAAGCAAGTTAGGACATATGTTTATTAGAAAAAAAGTCTTATTTTTGTCCATATAACCGACCCTTAACGTTTGGCGGTTTAACCCTGGGTCACCCTGTATATGTGAATACTGGTAGAACGAACGAGTTCTGTATTTTAACTGATTGTTAGGTACCTCATTGAATAAATATTATACGTTAATAGAGTCAATGTCAACCTTTTTTCAATGAATAATGATTTTTCGTCGACTTCTTATCATACAGGGTGTTTCAAAACTCAGTATCAAGATTTCAGGGACATATTTTCCAAGTCAAAATAAGACTTTTTTCCTTGTATGTGTCTGCAAATGCTTCGTTGATACCAATATACAGATCGTTGGAATTTTGAGATTATTTTATTTTTCAACCCTTTTTATAAAAAGTCAAGGTTTGTTCGCCGGTTTCTTATTCGTCAGGTTGTTTGAAAGCTTGTAATCAGGTTCACAAACTAAATAATGTGTAGCGTTTTTTGATCTCATTGTAATTGTAATAATAGGTCCTTTCCCTTCTGTTAACAATATTGGTTAAATCTAGCGAATTACAAAAATATTTATTACACAAGGGAAAAAGTTGTAGATTTCAGCTCAAGGTTTTGTTGTCCCGACGCGTAGCGGAGGGAGACAGAAAACTGTGAGATAAAATCTAATATTTTTTCCGTGTACTTATACACTGTTTTTCCGTAGCAGGAAGAAGGTTGAATCAATATTATTGGGAAGATATTATATTGAAATCACAATATTATCGACGTGAAATTTGAAGTTTTTAACAGTAATGACACCTGCCTTAAAATTATTTCGTGGTAAATTATTTTTTGGTATAATCACGAGATTTTTGGAAAAAATATATTTTCAGCCTATGTAAAATTCTTCCATATCGTTAGTGATTTTCGAAAAACAAAAATAGCACCTGTATACAAAATATCTCCCACCCCCCCGTTCAATTTTATTATCATCATTCGTCATAGATAAATCATTTTTTGTTCGGAATTTTATCGGTTTTAGCAGCATGATTCAACTTATTAGTCATTCATTCGGGACCAGGTGGTGAATCAAGACAGTCTTATATTAGATGTCATCACGTTCGGTCGAATTTTGTGATCGACATCGAAAAATACGCGAAAGGAGTTATTTATCGTCTCAAACTGAGTGTTCCCTAAAAACTGAGTGATCGTATTTTTTCGTATATAGTGTTTTTGTATTCCTCATTCGATTCAATAATAATAATATCGGGATCGTGTGTTGTTCTAGTGTTTCGTGTTGTTTCATCAAAGCCCCACATTTTTCACGCTGGTGAGTGCAGAGAATTCCTCTCAATTTTTCCTCATATTTCTCTGTATTCATTCAACTTCATTACCCTATACAGGGTATGTCACTACGAGCTTACACTATTTTTAAATCGAGAATCATTCGGGAGAAATCCATGAAAATAGGCATGCTTATATTTTGGTATACGCTCTTTTCATTTAAGATATGTTCGACAATGCAGTGTTGCCGCTTCTACTAGTAGTAGCAACATTGATATTTCGAACGGAACACCCTGTATTTTATCGCATTTTAAGATTTTCCTTGAAGAGCTGATTTCATCGATATATCATACTTGATACATGATTACAGAGATATAGGGTGTTCAAAATCGATATTTTTCAACTTTAGGATTTTTTTGTGTCGAAACTATTCATTATTGGTCAAAACGGCTCACATGTCCCTATCTCAACTTATGTTTCACTATTTACTGATATTTAATCAGAACAGATACAGGGTGGTTCAATATTCAGAATTCTGATCACATGCATATTTTCATGGATTTGTCCCGACTGATTCTCGATATAGAGATAGTGTAAGCTCGTCGTATCTTTCGTACCGTTTGTTGTATTCTCTCCGATCAAGGAATGTTTTCTTCTGATTTTCGTGCTTCCTGTTGGAAACTGTATCTTTTAAAAATTTACCATCTTCAATAACTGTGATACAGAACGAAATCTTGATTTTGGCAAAATCTTCATCTATGGTCAGGTCCTAACTTTTGAACCACTGTGTACAATCGATTCATACTTGGTGGGTATATTCAACTCATATTTCTCATCAAAACTAAATATGAATCGAATTTAGAATCCATATCCGTCTTCAGGCAAAACAAAGAACTTCTTTTTTTTTCAACAGTGTGCATCCAATTTGAAAAACAGTATTTTTATTGAACTCGTTATTCAAAAAATCCAATTTTATTACGAAAAAATTACCAGTCGTCAAATTTCAACTTGATTAGAGCCAAATTAGGTAAACTTTCGATGGATTTCGTTCCATATAGAACAATTTTTCAATTATTTTGGATATTTCGAGTGCTCAGTACATTTTCACAAACACAAATTAATTAAATATTTTACACTCTTGAATTTTTGTACGTAGATTCGTATCCCGAAATTATTTATTTTAGTATTGTCAGTAATTTTATATACGTCTCCCAAGTTTTTGTGATTGTTTAACACCGGAGTTCTTTCATTTCATTTATTTTTATATCTATCCATTTTGATTATTTTGTAAATAGATATTCCACACTCTTGAATTTTTGCACCTACTTAGTTTTATATTCCAAAATAATTAATCTTATATTTTCAATATTAGCTCGTCAGACGAAATTCATACTGTTTCACCACGTACAAGCAGCATTTATTTGCTGCTTCTGTGGGTTTTCTAATGTTTATTCACCTAATGTTAACTTGCCATCATTATTTCTTCCATTGTATTCTGATTCTGAATAAACATATTATTATCATTATTATACTAAATGTCAATTTGGATGCGCGCTTATGAAAAGTAGACCACATTGTTCATTATTTTCCTCTTCTATCCAGTTAACAAAACATATCTAGATCTTTTGGGAAAGATTATATTTTTGGCCTGGGTAAAATTTTTTCAAATCATTAGACTTTCGAAAATAATACTGTCAGTATATCCGTGTTCAATACTTCATTTTATATTTTGTATAGATAGATAGATGAGAGATTCATTTGGCTATTTTACACATAGGTTTACAGCACGTCGAATTTTTGCACAAAACAGCAATATTGTCCCATGGTATTATGTAAGAACAATTATTAATATTAACGCATACAACATAATATGGGGCTTATATAAAATACAAGTAAATTCAAATCTAAAAACATATTTCAACAAATAAACAAGTAGGTGTATATTGACAACACAGATTGATGATGAAAAGAGATTTAGAACAATCATCAGGAATTCAAAAATGTGGAAGATGCCTACTAGAAAAACCACTATTCGAAAAAAAAAGCGGATATGTAGCAATCCAGTTAAAGACGATGAAAATATCATTCAGGTATGTCTCTGATTCACATGTACTTCGATTCCAATGTGATGTTTAGTTGCAGATCCAAGAAGCAGTGTTTGATACTTGCCACTCAATCGGAGAAAACCATCCAGTGAATACGGACCGAACAGAAGATCCGCAAAGAGAACTGACCAGAGTATACTTCACAGAATTCAGATCATTATATTCGTACGGAAGGCGATATATTGATATGCTTTCCAGATTCTCAAGAAACCAGATAAGACAGATATTCACCTTTATGTCTCTATGGAAACACGACAGGTACCCTTACGAGGGGAGAGTATCAACTCGGCGTTTATAAACCCTCTCTGCAAAGGAGGTAGACGCATAGTGGGTTAGGTATATACAGTGTTCTTCATTGCAGAGAAAATTGTTGTTTATCTGCTTGTCTCGTCTTCATTGAGATAGTTGATGAATTGATGAATTACAAAAATATATCGCGTTCCAGTTATGAATGTTGAATACAATATCCAGACTCTTCATAGATTCATATTCTATGTAGGTCTCACGATTCAAATTTAAAATTAATACTTAGTTTTAGATCTGAGCAGCACATTGTTTGGCCTTCAAGTTCCTTAATATAACCGACGTAATTGAACATGTGGAAGATGCCTACTGGAGAAACCACTGTACGGAAATAAAGCGGATATGTAGCAATCTAGGTACGGACGTTGAAAATATTATTCAGGTATGTCTCAGAGATTCA